CATTGGGAATTAGTTTTGAGAGATGACAGTATTCTGTTATCTTTTTTTCTTTGTATTTATTATTTTGATTTCAAATACTACTGAAGCTTGCTAAATTATTATTTTTTATAGCTCTAGACGGTGAATTAGTGTTGGTGTAAATTTAATTTAATTTAAAATTTTAATTTAAAAACTAAGCATCAAAATTAAAATAGACAAAAGTAACTCGTGGATGCGAGGATATAGAGTCACAAGATTTACGGTAGTTTGGTTTGTTCATCTCGATTGTTCTATTCTTAAGACTATCAATTTTCATTGATGATAGAAAAGTTATCATCATTATATAAAATCTACACGTTATCTCATTATGAGAAGGAAGAGAAACACGAAGTCCACTATCTCCCTTTATGATAAGGAGGATAATCATAAACCTTCTTTTCTTCTTTTATAACAAAAGAAGGTAATCAAAATCTATCTTCTCAAGGTATAAAAGTATGTCCTAAATAAGGAGAAAGATAAATCCTTGAGGTAAATTATTTTAATACATATTTGAAAGCCTTTTTGCTAACTTAAGTATTGGTGGGATCGAGCCGAGAAACCTCCCCTCCCCTTGGGCTTCGTGCAGGTGATACTTCAAGGAGTACAATATTTGAACCTTAGAAGTCACCTCGGAAGCTATCTCAAATCCTCCTTGGAATCACCTTAAAAGCTATCTTAGATCCACCTCGAAGTTACCTCGGATCCACCTTGGATCCATCTCGGATATATCTCAGATCCACCTTAGAGTCATCTCGGATCCACTTTAGATCCATCTTAGGTTCATCTCGGATCTATCTTGGAACTACCTTAGAATCTTTTTAAAGCATGGCATTCTTTCGTCACGAACACCTTGGGCATTCCTACGCACATGGGTCTGGGCCAAGTCAGGTTGATTAAGAGGTCAGTGACTTTTTCCCCTCATAGTTTGACACTAGAAAGAAAGCCCGATGTCACATAAATGTTCGTCTACCCATCCCCTTAATGGACACTCCAACGAGGAGGCCTCACCTCTAACCCCCAATACTTTTATTCATGGAGAACAATCGTCGTTCCTCCCACAAGTAAATGTGTCCACCTTGACGCAGATGCCAACAAGACACTCGAGCCACCTACTTGTTCCCGTTGAGGTATTCATTAACTTCACCAATCAAATGTAGATGCTTACGAGCATATTACAAGTTATTGCCCTACTCCTACCTCAAATAGCCCAACATATGACATTGCCATCTTAGCTACAATCAACACCTCAATCACCACTAACACTGACACATTTCGGAGTCTCAATACTAGATGTAATACCAATACATCAAGATTACCTAAGATCTATATAACTGCTCGTCGAGGAGGCCTCCCACTCCCCAATACAACAATTTCAATGGACAACACCTTAATGGACAACCATTTCAGTCTACTTAATTTGAGATTTGATCAGTGAATTCAATGGATAACACCTTAATGGATCGACTAAGGTAAATATATCAATGTTTAGACGAAATATGATGGGAATTCCAACAATTGAAGGAGGGTTCAATTGATCTCACTCTGGATCGATCCTTATTCACACAATACATTCAAGAGGAACTGATCTCATCTAACTTCTACCTCCTATCACTGAAAACCTTTGACGATAATATCAACCCAGTTGAATAGTAACCTTTCGCACTCGGATGTCCCTTTAGGTATTTCAGGCACTTTATTGTGCTGAACATTTCCAACAAATTTTGGGCACTTTATTATGTTGAGTATTTCCAACAACATTGAGGGCCTCGGTGCAAAAATGATATACTCACTTAAAGCCATTCTCAATCAGCTCCTTCACTCAGTTAGAAAAGAAATTCAAACTTTACTTCTTGGGAAATATACATATGAAGTCTTCAGCGACCATATTACTTGAACTTAGACAAGGGGAAGAGGAGACACTCTCTAGTTTCAGCACTCGATTCATTAATGAGATTCAAGATATACAAAAAGTCCATCTATTACTTGTGATTCAAGTCTTCATGAGGAGACTAAGGTCCTCTTGGCTTTTTTTGTCATTAGTTGAAAGACCACAAGCAACCCTACACGAGGTGCTACAGAGGGCCAATCAACTCATTGCAGTTAATATGACGGTCTCTAGTAGATGTGAGAAAACATGTAAAAGGTCACGATTAGAACGGTCACCATTGGTCCCTACTCCAAAGCCACCATGATGGAGAAGCCCTAACTAACTTGAGTTGCCTCATTTGAGTCCTAAGTTAACCCCCCTTAATATGTTAAAAATCAAGGTCTTCCTATAGATAATAGAAAAAAGATTCTTATAATATCCCACTAGAAAGGAGAAATATATCTAAATATTGCCGCTTCTATTGCGACTATGGACATGACACATAAGATTGTCAAGATATGAAGAAGCAAATCAAAGAGCTTATTCATTGAGGGCACCTTGGAAAATTTATCTAAAGATCTCAAGAACCTTCACCTCAACCTCGAGGCCCAATCGAGAAGCAGGTCGATGTTATTGTTGGGGGATTCACTTTGAGAGAAGATAGTATCTCAGATCATAAAGCTTATGCCCAAGCCACCATCGGAAAGTCCTAAGGTTAGAAGATGACTTGAAGATATCAAAGGCAAAGGAATCAAAATACCTCAATCCGAACCATGACGATGCCCTGATGGTATTTATAAGAATGATCAACGCCCGAGTAAAAAAGGTCATGATAGACATAGAAAGCTTAGCCAACATTCTTTACTTTGATGCGTTCTAAAAGCTAAGGGCGACATCACATGTGTAGCAGAAGAATAGAAAACAAAAACCTCAAATTTCTCAAAAAAGTATTCATCGTTGTGCAAAAATTGGTGCGTAAAAACTTGCAAAACTTAAAATCACGTGTGAAATAGTTGTGTTACCTAGGGAGATCGTATATCCCTGAATACCTGTAGATCTGTAGGAAATGATCCACATAACAGGACTACGACGACACTCCTCTAATCACTACTAAAAAATCCACACTTGTTATTTGAGGAAGAGAAATAGAGAAGAGAATAGAATGTGGGAACTAGGAAGCCTCTAGCCTACAGGTCTTTGGTTTCCTCCTATTTATATAGGTTCTCTATCTACTTAACCCTAACGGATCATACCCTATTGGGTATTGGATCTCCATTCAACTACTCAAGCCTCTTAGATTAATGAATCTATATCCAATAATCTCTCATTGGCTATTATTGGATCTCATCCATAAGATTCAATAATTCATGGGTTTATTGAATATCTAATAAGATAGGAGCTCCGACGGATATCTCATATTCGAACATATACTTGTCACAATGGCTCCCATATATGTGTGACCCTCTAGGCTCAATATCGAGCTAGCCATGAGTTATACATGTCAGAACTTATTGTGGCTTAGTAAATTATTATCTTCATAATAATTCACTCGACTCATCGACTACGGACGTACTATGCCACGCGATCACCACACAAAATCCACATTGCCCTTCATCCACCTACATGTTTAGAGAATCAAAATAGAGAAACGTAAACCTCCATCTCTTTTATTATGATAAAGAAGAGAAATGTGAACTCTCTTCTCTCCTTTCATGATAAGAAAGATAATCCTAAACCCCCTTTTCCCCGTTTATAACAAAAGAAGGTAATCATAAACTATTTTTTCCTCTTCGAAAGGTATAAAAGTGTATCTTAAATAAGAAAAAAGGTAACTCCTTGAGGTAAACTACTCTAATACATATTTGAAAGCCTTTTTGCTAACTTGAGCGTTAGAGGGATCGGACCAGTAAACCACCCAACCTTGGTCTTCGTGCAGATGACACTTCGAGGAGTACAATGTTTCAACCGAAGCTATCTCAAATCCATCTCGAAATCACCTTAGAAGCTATCTCAGATCCATCTCGGAGTTACCTTGGATCCATCTCAAATCAATCTCAAATACACCTTAGAGTCATCTTAGACGAATTCACCTTCGAGATATCACATAATCTTTTTGAAGCACAATATTCCTTCATCACAAATACGTCGAGCATTTCTATTTATACGAGTCTGGGCAAAGTCGAGTTGATTAAAAGGTTAGTGACTTTTTCTCCTAACAACTAACGATCATCCTTCCAACAATTTAAGGTCAATAATCTTTTTATTAACTTTTCTTTTGGAGAGATTTTTATACCCAAATCCCTATTATTTATAATAAAAGTGGAGAAGACTCATAAAGATTAAAATAAATAGTTACAAAACTCAATGATTGGAAAGTCGGAATTAGATTTCTATGTCTCTAAATAACACAAAAGTGGAGTCATAATTTATGATTTCAGAATACTAATAATATTACTATCATAAATTTTGACATGAGTCGAATTCATTTAACTAGGTAAAATTATCGTCACCACCTTATATGATGCTATCATTGCCGACAAGCGGTAATATCATCAAGTTGATAGTACTCTAATCTTAGGGTAACACAAGGCCAAGTGTATGAACCAATAAGATGCCCAAAGTGTTTGCCCAAATATGGGCTCAACTCTGACGCAACTTTAAACCGAATGATAATCATCCTAATACATGAGTTCTATTCCAAGCCGATAACAATCTCCTTTGACCTATAATCATTTTGACTAAAACTTTAACACAATAATCACTCTTCTAATACATTGTGACGAAACGTTCGATGTTTCATCAAGTCTTCCAACACATTGATCAATCTTTCAATTCAATGTTCAATTCTTGACTCGATAATTTTTTAACACGGTGATTGATTTTTCGATTCGGCATTTGGTCTTATGGGTTTCGAATCTTTAATCGAAATATTTTTTAATCACTTATATCAATAAAAATATCTTAAAATTATTAATTAATTTTATAATATAAATTCAAGATTCAACAAGAAATTTATAATGATAAATATTTTTTTACTAATCCCAACCCTGCAAGTCTCTGACCGGCCGGCCCAAGTGGCCCCTCCCACCTGCGTTATGTTGGTGCACGGCAGCCCACCACCATTCCCATCACCCACCACCACCACCAGCGACCAAGCATCGTGGAGACCGTGAGGATGCGAAAGCGCCGCACGCCCCTCCGTTCCCCCGCTGCCACCCTCCCTCCCCGTTGGGCGTGCCCGCAGCGTCCTCATGATGCGCGGGCCCCACGCCATCATCCATCCGTGACCACTTTATCGAGATCGCCGTCGCGCCCACTGCCCCACCGTCCATTTCATGCTCCGCTCTCCCTCTTCTTCCTCTCCCCTTCGTCTCGAAGAGACCTCTCGCCTCCACCCGAACGAAGCCCTAATGGCCCCTGAAGTGGCTCCTTCCACCTCTCTCCCGCTGCTCTAACGCGGTCTCTCTCCAAGAATTCCCTCCCTTCTCCCGGTGCAAAATGGACATTGAGGTGAGGTTCTGATCCCCGTCCCTGCCTCTTGCCTCGCTTCATGGATTGGCTTCCTTAGCTCCTTCGGTGCAGTAGCCGAAGTAGACTTCCACAGGTAATCCGTCCTGATTTCCCTTTTTTCTTCTTTTCTTCTTTCGAGGCCGGCGAATCTTCACCTACGAGCGTGTTTTTCTGTCTAAAGCGCGATCAAAGATTGTCAACTTGGCAAAAGTCGGCCTTTTTTCGTGTGTCCCCCCTGATATGCTTCGTTCCTGCTTGGAAGTTTGCTCTGTTTTTTGTGTAGATGTGATCAATGTGTTTTGCCCGTGAATCCTTCCAAATTTTGAGGACCCGTCGGGTTGGTCCGGAATGTTCATCTTTTTGGGGGGTTTGAATAGTTACTGTAGGTAGTTGTTGTCGTGCACTAGAAAGGGGTTTCCCCTGTTGCGTTACTGCCCTGCTGCATTTCTCGTGCTGAGTGAGCCACCTGCTGATGTATAATGTCGTATAATAATCAGTGATATCATGTGTGGTATACTGACACTGCATGAGACATGCAAACCCTAATATGTCATTCCATTACTAAATGATGATCAGGAGGGAGTCTGCAATTCTTTCCTCTTTCTCTTTCTTTACGGAGAAGATTTGGTTGCTCTACTCAGGTGCTTCCGTAGTTGACTATAATATCTTCTTTTTTCAAGAATTTGGTATGGTACAGTAATGCTTTTATTAGATCAAGTTCAGTGACTGAAATCACATTCTCCGTATAGACAAAGGTGTAAGTGTAGTTGCATTAGGGCTCACTTGGTGTAGGCCCTTGCACTAATTATTGTCTTTTCCTGATGAAGGTGTCTAATTTTCTGCCTTCTTAAGCTTGCTGTTTCATTTAGTTCAACATAATATTTTTTGGAAATGTCCTTTAGGAATGGACGATGAGCTAATCAATCACCATATTGAATTTGAAGATGTGAAAGCAGAAGTTTCGTTGGACCACATGGATATCATTACCTCTCTAGATGAAGACACCAAAATGATTTTAACGCTAGATGAAGGGAGGATAGTTTCATCTCAAGGTGATATGATCCTGGAACCATACGTGGGAATGGAGTTTGGATCTGAAGAAGCAGCAAAAACATTTTACGGTCTATATGCTAGGCATGTGGGTTTTCGTGTCCGCATCAGCAGGTACACCCGTTCAAGGCGTGATAACTCTATTATTTCCCGTAGAATTGTTTGTTCCAGGGAGGGTTTCCGTGAAATTCGTGCTAATGAAAGTCTTTATGGTGAGCAAAGAAACCGACAAAGAGTGGCCACGAGAGTTGGTTGCAAAGCAATGATCATGATAAAAAAAATAGACATAGGGAAATGGATTGTTACTAAGTTCATCAAGGACCATAACCATGGTCCAGTGCCTCCAAGGAAGGTAGAAAATAGGACAGTGCACAAGGATGATGAGTTGGTAGAGAAAGTGTGCATCACTGAAGGAGATTCTGTCCAAGAACCATTTGAGGGAATGGAATTTGAGTCTGAAGAGGCTGCAAAGTTATTCTACATTTCTTACGCTAGGAGCATGGGTTTTCGTGCACGTATTAGTAGGTACTGCCGTTCAAGACGTGATAATTCAATCATTTCTCGACAGATAGTGTGCTCAAAGGAGGGTTTCCGTGAAGATCGTGCAAAGAAGGAGATAACAGAGGAGGGAAAAGTTAAGCGCCCCAGAATGATAACGAGGATAGGTTGTAAGGCTATGATCATAGTAAAGAAGATGTCTGGAAAGTGGGTGGTAACAAAATTTGAGAAAGAACATAACCATGTTTTGCCACCTTCAAAGAAGGATCCCTGTCATGCTGGAAAATTCAGCAATTCACAAGGGGCTGGTAGAGTGTCTAACGAGACGGAAATTGATCGGTTTTCTACTGGTACAAAAGGCAACTCTCAAGAATCCCTAACTGTTCTGTACAACCAGTTATGCTATGAAGCAATTAAATATGCACAAGAAGGTGCAACCACCGAACACACTTACAATGTGGCAATGGCTTCTCTAAAGGAGGCTGCAGAGAAGGTTGCTGCAGTGAAAAGGAATGCCGGAATAACGGCACAAACAGGAGTTGCTAGTGGTAGAACCAGACAAGCATTTCTTGTTTCCACAGAAAGTAGCATTGGTTCTTTGGTCCAAGTCAAATCATTTCATAATTTGCAATCTCAGGATAAGGCACGAGAACTCAAGCCTCAGAAACAGCCTGTTAATTTTGTGCTTTTACCCTCTGGTTTCCTGACTGATTCAAATTCATCTACTTGTTCTACTGAGGCTCCATTCGTTTTTAATGTTACTGCAGACTGTTTACATGGAACCCAGCCCATCCAAACAGTGAACATAACCAACCCTAATACTGTATGCAAACAGTCAAATAATACCACCATACTGTTTCCAGAAAGGTTGTTTGGAAGTGATTCAGAAGGCTCTGATTTGCCAGAAGAAGAGAAAGTGGAGCTACATAAATTAGATACAGCCCCTGAGATAGCTAAATCTCACCAGAAGTCTCAGGTTTTCTTCATTGACCATGGCATTTCTATGATGCACTTTTGTTTTATAGATGCCTTTTTCTCTGAATATGCATTATTTACTATAACTATTAAGTCGAAAACTTGCTGATTTGTAAAAATTGAAGCAACTGTTGTAAATTTTGTCAATCATAAAATCAACTAATAAATGCTTGAGATTATAGCCTGTAACAAGAGAAAATTTCACTTTAATGGCATAGAATCTGGAGTAGCTTCACTATTGTTTTTTAATCTCATTCTTTAAGCTTATCTTGTGGAGAATCTTGATAATATAATTGAATAATTTTCCATCAAAGTAGTTTTAACAATAGCAACCTACCATGTTTTCATGGTATATAATAACTTGTCCCTCCATCTAACTTTCATCTTTTTTCTTGTGAGGACTTGTGTATTATTGTAAAATCATAATGCTATTACAATGTCAGCGTAGCTTCTTTCCCTCTATGTCTTTATTTCCAGTTTTGTTCCTATTCCTGCTGCTTACATCTCATGACAATTTAACCTATTAAATTTGCAGAAAAATGGAGCTGGCTTATCTAGTACAACTCAGTCTAGTGGTAAGAAAATCAGCATGGGTTCCTCTGAAGTAAAGCTTGGCTATCCTGCACTTCCGGTGACAGTTTATATGCCTGTGGTTGGAAGCATTGCAGAAACTTTTGCAGGTAGCTATATCATCTTTTCTAGCTTTCTGTGTATATGTAATCCTGAAGATAGATTACCAATGTGATATGTATCTTCCTTTATTGTTATGAGGAAATTACTTTAAAATATAAAAAATGAGATATAGATTTACTGAATTAAGCTGAATGTAAATAATTCTCCATAGTTTTCAAATTTTACAGCACCATATAAGTAATAGCTTTTTATTCCATAACTACTGTATACATTCTTTGTTGTTCTGTATCTACCAGTATATCTTGATTTTGCACACAAGTATTTACCTCTATTTGAACATGATAACCACTTGTCTTTCATAAATTATCATCCTCTTTTTGCAATAACCTGGAGTGTATACTCTACATTGTAACTATTTGATTTGCAGTAAATAAGATGGCTTCATGTTGTTTTGTCTATAATTTCCTGTTTCTGTCTAGTTGCAATGACAAAACATGTATCAAGGATGCTGTGTATATATATACATGTATCAAGTATGCTGTATATATATACATGTAGACATACGTATACATAGACATCCATGCATACATATATATATGTATATCTATATCCATATGCATATGTAAATGCATGTGTATATATATACATACACACACACACACACACACACACACACACACACATAGATTTTGAAGTTTATGCCCATCATAGGAACATTAAAACCAGCAACATTGTAGTACTTGGTTCTTTGCCCATTCTTAAAAGCGGCCTTGACATTTGACTTTTATCACAAATACAAGAAGTGTTGAGAGACTTAATAAATACTTCCTACTCAAGTTTCAGTCTTATAACCTTATTTCATTCTTTATATAGTCATACTTGCTCGGCATCATTTCTTTGGAAAATGTAACTGTAACTTCAAGTTGATTGGACTTTTAAATTCTTAATTCAACATCTGCTGTGAAAATAATCTCTTTGAAGGATTTTTTTTGTTAATTCCCATAACAATGATGTGATATAGGATATGTCAGTCAGTATGTTACAGCAATGGAACTGACCTGGATACAATATCAACCGTATATGTTGGCACACACTCGGCACTGCATCAGCCTCTGGTTGTGTATTGGAAAGAGTTGTGAAGTGAGATGATTTGTTTCTGGATAACTTCTTAATAAAAAAAGGGTCAATATTTTCTTTGCCTTTTGTATCTTTTGTGAATGTTGTGTTTCTACTGAACATCTTAACCGGGAACATGAAGATACAGAAATTAGCCTTATAAAAAATAAGATTGATTTCCCTGAATGACACATGCAAAATTCTGAGTCAATTCATGCATGTAATATTTTATTTGACAATAGCTAGCAATTTTCGCTAGAATTAGAACCGGGAGAATAATAGTGATTCTAGCTCAAGGTATGGTCATCAGGTCTAACTCAAGGTATGATCATCAGGGACTAATGTAAAATATCATGAAAGGATAAAGCAGGTAATAAAAAGAGCATTCATAATAATGGAAACATGTTACTTGTGGCGCAGAGGTGGAACTTTCATTTTCATGGTTTGTGAATTTTGTAAAATCTCCCAACTTAACTAAAATTATTTTAGAATAAAACAAAAAAAAAAGTATCTGTTTCGTCTACCACATGAGAACTGACTTGATAGCAGGTGGCATTTTATTTGTAGCACTCTTGTGTCTTTGCCCTCTAAAATATAATCCAAGCAAGAATCCTAGGACTATAAAACTAAGCGAATGTGGAGCCCTTTCATATTGTTATGATGGTTTTGGTGTCAATCCATGATTCCAAGTTAATCAGGCTAGAATGGTAGCAAGAGTGAGTAAAAGCTAATCAGTTTACAAGTTGTACAAGATGCCATTAGCAGCTTTCTCAAATGTGTATCTCTATTTTCTGATTGGAAGATTCTGTTTTTTTATGTTTATCTGATCAAAGTTTAAATTAGAGCAACAAGTTTCAGTGGAAGTTTTGTTTCTTAAAATGTGATAGATTATTTGAACTTTAAACGGTTGCTGAGACAGGAACCCCAGGGCCAGGCACCTCTTATGCTCTTTTAGCTACTCCAATTGCATTGTCTGTTTCTGCTGGGCCTGTGGAATTTTGCAGACAATCACAGGATGGAAGTCCTCAGCTAGCAAGCAAGAGTAGCACAGTGGCTCTGCTTCCATCACGAGGAAATCCATTACATCCTAAGCCATATGCAGGTCCCAACCCCGAGGTGCATGCAACTGCTGTTGCCTGCGGTGCCCGTGTAATCTCCCCCAAGGCAGCAACTTCACTGATCAAGGCCATTGAAGCAAGGATAAGATCCTCTGTGGCCAAATCAAAACTTGCTTGTGGCTTTAGACTGTTGGATTCCGAGTTGACAAGTCCTGAACCCTGTAACGAGGAGGGCAAGACAAAGCAGAATCCCATGAATGTCATGTCACAATGGCTGGAAGGGAGTTCTGAGGAGTCGAAGGACGATGGATCTGCTGCTGAGGCAATGGAGTTGGAGGTTGAAGCTGACCATCCAATTGCAGGTGCTGATGAGCAGAAGAACCAGTCACTTTTTGAGGGGCGGATAGGCTTGTTGGACCCAATAGGAGCTGCCGGTGATATGACCATCATTTAGGAGTGACTGAAGTTCCACATCGAGTTAGAGTTTCTAAAACTTCTAATGCTACATATTCTCATGTACACATTTGAGAGATTTGTGAGCTGAGAAGGGCATGTTGTAAAGAAAAAAAAAAACTTACCAATGTCAACATAGTTGAGCTAATCTAGTGGACTGGAGAGCTAGGTATTTTCACTGTTACATATGAAATAGGTAACATTGTCCTTACATTAAAGTTGTAAGTGCACTAAAACTAGGTGTCTGGAATTGTGCTTCACTGGAATTGTCCAGGTTGTTGCTTGATGAACATAGCCTGAACTATCCATCATGATTCGAGCATATCGAATGCCTAGCTGAAACTGGGGTTAGTAGACAAGTTTGTGTTGTGTCACTTGCAGCAAACGTTAACATCTTTTTCTAAGAATGTTGCTGTTCTTATAATGTAGTGGAGTGCAGACTGAAAATTATGTTGTCTGGCCCGTGACTAATTATAGATTACTTTATCTAGTTAGATTTATTAAAAAAAAATTATATTAAAATTCTTGTAGTTATAATGAAATATTTAATTTTATTTATCTTAACGTTATTGATTTTATTAATGAAAGTATGAAAACAATGGGTAAAAAGATAATTTTAACATTCTAATTATATTTTTTGTGGTGACAGACGATGATGTCGCTGACGGTCGTGAGTGATTGTGGTGGATGAGAAAGAACGACGGTGAGAGGTGAGACAATGGGAGAGAATGATGCTCGATGTCAGAATGATGCTCAATGTCGATACTTTGCATTTGCATCAGTGTTGATACAGATGCAAGCATTTGTGTCAGTGTCGATGCAAATGTCGAGTGACCCTTTCGTCTCTTCGTATTTGCATTGACACTGACACAGCAATGTCGACATAAATGTAGAGTGTCGATATTTGCTTGTCCTCTTCCTTGTCTCCCTTTTTCTCACCTCTGGTTGTCGCTCTCCTTCATCCACGACAACCACACGTGGCCCCTAGCGATGTCATCATTCGTCGCCATTGAAAACGCATCTTAGATATTGAAATTATCTTTTTATCTATTATTTTCATACTTTCGTCAGTAACACCAATGACGTTAGGATAAATAAAACTAAATATTTCAGTTCCATAACTATAAAAATTTTAATATAAATTTTTATAAATTTAAAAATCAAGATACTAAAAATGTCTAACTCTATAATTAAAGCACGGGCTCGTATAGATCTTACATTAATGTACACGAGGAAGCTCCAAAGTGACTGTAGGCAAAATGTATGAAAAAGATGATAATTTGTGGAGAAAACATAAAGCAGATTTTTGTGTCTTCTTTTGTTTTTTTATTTTTAATTTCAGAGGAAGATTTATAGCATAGCCTACATGTTGCAAGATATGCAGTGAACAAACACGATGTCTGCTTCTATACTCTTACCTTAATGTTGCTGATGCCCATTAAAGAAAAAATGATAAGAAAAACAATATTATATTAAACAGCCTACAAGAAAAGATATTTAAACATGAATTCAAATGTAAGACTTATTACATGTATAATAATGCACTAATCACTCAAGAAAGACGATGCACGTTCTTCCATAAGAACGTGATATATAACATAGCAATAAGTCATGAAGCCTATAAATTTTCAACTCCCATACACTTGCACGGTATAGTTTGAATGTCCAATGATTCCTCTGAGGGGATTCTTAACTAGATAATTTGAGATCAATGAAGTCAAACTCTCCAATTTCATACTGGCTGCATCATTCTGAAGGCCAACTTCTACAGATATCCTTAACTAGCAAGAGGAACTACTGATCAGCAAGCTATAGAGAAACAAGTTGAGAGCACAGATATTTATCGAACACAAATGTTGGAGCTGAATAAAAGCTTCTTACAAGAAGAAAAAGGGGGTGAAAAGAAAAATGAAAACCAGTATATCCCAAAATGCTGAGCCCTCGTATGAAAGAGTCTGTACATAGATGGGGATAGATATACCTTCCAAGCATCCCCAAACGAAACAGTATAACAGTAATGATGGTCTGTAATCTTGAAAGAATTTTTGAATGGAACATACAATGCAATCTCAATCGTGCTCGCCCAACCTTGAGCAGCTGCTATGCTATCTGAAGTGTTATAGGACTTGAACTTGTCCTATGTAAAGTGCTTTCCTGGAAATATAAGAACAGTTAGGAACGAACATTAAATTGAAACAACACGACTGCCATAAACCAAGAGTATGAAATTTTTTATTGAAAGAAACAAGTCATCTTAGAAAGAATCCTGTGCCAAGAAATTTGGTGCCGTAAACCAAGAGCGTCCACAATCAAGTCAGAACCTACACTCTGAATTGTCTATATTTGGGTTGTGAGCAAACAAATTCCATGAAGGTTCCAGGAGTCCACCTTCAGGGAAAACCACAAGTTGCTATGCATAATTGATCAACAATTTCAAGAGTTGTTGTTTTCACTAAAAACTGAAGCATGATAAGATAAATGAATATGCAATTTAAAAGTTCCGGGAACCAACGATTTAACAAGCCTAATAGAAGAGATATGGATCAAGCCTAAACAACTTGAGCAGCAGGGTCTATAGTTTAGTTAGTGGTTCCGACTTCCCAAGTGAGCAACTCAGACCAACTCAAAAAGTAACCTTTTTAGTCCAAGTACTTAAATCTTTGCTATCAGATTCCCATATTGATGAATACATTTGCATTTTAATGTATCTAGAGCACAAAAATAACTGAACAAATTCAATATGTAACCAAACTTGTGTCAGTATAGGTCCATGAATGCTTGTTCACTGACCAATCCATGTTGCAGCATGCATAATGCCATTCTAATAGCTCCAAGAGCAAGGTTGAATGTCATAGCAAGTACAACTTTGATCTATGTACTATTAATACCACCGATCAGCAAGTTTATACCATATAAATATTGATACACAACTGTGCATACACATAAAGATAGGGATATATGTTATATAGGATTTACAAATAATATGTACATTACTAGAGAAAAAAGGACAAACATATGTGCATATATATGCTTACAAATGGAGAATTGTATCCTTGTCTGCATACAGTTATTCCTAAATAGATTCTCCCACCCCCTTGTCATGCACAAAAGTGACCACAAATATTAACATAAATAACAATGTAAAGGCCATAAGAAGAGAGGCACCTTGCAAAAGATGCATGTTCTCTGTTAAGCGAATAATGGCATCAAGGTTGCCTGAGAGTTGCCATCCTTCAGGATAAACAAGATCTCCACCTTCTAAATGGAGGTGCCAATTCATGATCCTTGAGCAATCATTTGGTAAGCCTTCCATTTGACTTTCATCCTCTACTATCTGCTCTATAAATGTAGTCTCCTGCAAACAAATGGCATTTAGGTACTTCACAATGCTAATAAAGAATTCAAAACTTGCCAGAAGGGGCAATGATGCTGGAAAGGACAATGAAGTACACACACACACACATCAGTAAATAGTTAAAGTTGTTTCATTTAATCACAAATTAAGTCAAAGGGATACGGAAAGAAAGGGTTGACATACCCTTGATGCAGTATAAAGTATAAACATAAAAGACAAACTAGATGATCATAAAGCTCCTTAGGTCCACCTGATGGTATATAACCAAGAATAGAGAAATAGTATTATACATCCTAGACAAGTAAATAAAATTTATTTTTTAAATTAAAATTATGCAAAATACTTTTGATTCATGGAAATTACTTTACATCTTTTAATTCATTACCCATGATCTAAATTTGCTATTACATGGACACAAATGCACTTGAAGCCCCATTTGAGCAATGTACTGATACATGGGCCAATCTAACTGTTAAACAGGATCCATACTAAATTGAGAACCACCCACCACAATGTAACCAGTGGTCTTTAATTGAGTTGGAACAATCCACTTGGTTCAAAAACTTCTATGCAACACAAACTTATATTATGTTATTGAAAAAGATTTCTATAGACATGCCAACCTGTACCATGTGCTGGTTCTTCCTTGGATAGACTCTCCAAAAAGCATCATCGACTCCAACTAATACATACATCGGCTCACATTAAAAGAAAAGAGCATATTCACAAACAGTTCATTTATTATGACTTAATCTTAGTAAGATTCAAAGGGAAAAGTGCCATGAGTTAAGATACACACATCTGATCACAACTCAAATCAAACTTAACTCAGAGTACCAAGGGACCATTATACCGTAGTTTTCTTTGCTAGGGTTATAACCAAAAACAGAAATTTCTAGAGATACCTATGCAATAGTGTGAGTCCATGTATGCATAGAGCTTTGCAATCAGTTTAGCCACTTTAGGAGTTCTGGAATTCAGAAAACTAGTTTGGCCAGACATTCAATTTACTCAAGCTGTCATTATCTCAATACATGCCATAAACCTGCTCAAGATGGAACCTAATACATAAATGATTGACAATAATACTATATATATTTTTATCAGCAAGTTCTTATAGATTTAGGTAGAAAACTACTGAAAATGGAAGTTTGAATCTTCTCAAAATGTTTGTATCTCACCAGATACAAACACCAATCAGCTACTTTTCCCAATTTGTATCTCACCAGATATACAAAATTTTATGAAAAAATGGCATAAATACTAGAAACACAGTTAAGAAAACATATTCGTTCAACCCTATTGTCTCACAAATATGGTTGATCAAGATAAAGTTTGAATATGCTAGCTTGTAAGGTGATAAAACCTATAAGGTCATACCATGAAAAGGATTTCTTTTTTCTTTTTGTTGAATAAAAACACTGCAAATATAATATCTTCCAAAGAAGCATAAGAGCCAGAGGGGGAAAAAAAATGAAATATTGCTATTTAAAAATGACATATAATCTGTTTACATCAAAACAAATATCAGAAGTAAAGAGAGAACATTCTCTTGCACTTCGCCTTATCCAGAAGATCATAATGTAAACAGACCATTCCAGGCTCACACAACAACATAAATGACTGCTAACATAACGGTATTTTTCTCAGTTTTCCTTATTAAGTTAGTTATAATTTACTCTTCTGTCACTTCTGCTCTAAAAACTTTACTCTGCAGTTTTAACAAGATAAAACTAGAAAGGAAAAAGCGTACCTGAAAACCCTCTTTCACCGTGTCTAGCTGCCTAATGGCATCTGAGTTTGGACGATGCCATCTTTTGTAGTCCCAGAGTATGGTGCTATTGAATGCAAATCCAGACATATCAACATGAAATCTCCTAAGTCTCTTGCTTTTCTCATTAGTGTGCCATCCAATTACTTGACTTCCATTGCACACTGGGCCTTCCAATATTGCCTTATTTTTGCTTTGAGAAAGCATTGCAACAGGCCAAACACCAAATCTCCTAAAATAACAAATAGATCAGTTTTCTGGTACTAAATTGACAGCTAGGAAAGATAATTACGTGAATTTATCATGTACCAGAGGTACTGATCATCATTATGAGCTACGATAGGCAATGTGTGATCAGAACCACAAAATGCTATCAGACGTGATCCTTTTGTTACATGGATCTTCCTGCGTAAGAACTCACACAATTGCAGGTCCGATCAAGTGTGTTTCAAGTAAATATTTAAACAACCAGGTTTAAAATCAAGAAACAATGTTGTTTGCTTTGGAAATTTTATTAAAAAAAGCGGACTGTTAAACTGGCTTGTTTGATGCATGTCAGTTTCAGATCGTGGAGATCAAATGCTAGCAGTACAATGTGACATTTGGGTCAGCCCAATTTATTGAGATAGTGGAGTAACTAGACAATATTTCAACTCTTGCACTCTATTATTATCACCACAGACTGAGAAACTATTAAAACCAACAAATAAAGTTACATGGAAAGAAGGCTATACTATGCAACATATCACAATTTTTTTAAAAAGAGAAATCTTTATTTCAATTAAAAATCAGTGGATAAATGCATGAGAACTCTCATCAATTTGGATCCATATCCTTACATGCCAAGAGGCTATTTGCCTGACCTGCAATGAGCTCTACCAAACTTGTGGAAGAATAAACAATCAAATATCATAATAAAGCAAAATGAAGGTGCTTTTGTTTTTTCATATATTTGATATTTTGCAAATTGGTTAAAATCAAAGAAAAGAAGGAAAGAAGAAAGACACTAAGCTAGTATGTTTTTAGAATCCAATCATACATCTCTCTCTTTCTTGCATTTTTGGAAGGGCACAGAATACGCTGATAAGAGCATTATATACTGTTATAGAGTATCAGAGCATGACTATCCCGTGTTTTTTACTGATGAAGTATCCATGGACGAGACAACTAGAATCAACATCATTTTTGACAAGATCGAGGAGAAGCCAAGACATGTTATCAACAACATGCTTTTGTCAATGATCAGAGAATTGAATTGAATATGCAACCATGACTCATATTAGAATTCTTGCCTAATTTTAAAGTAACAACTAACAACTACAAATTTAGAGCAAAATAAGTTTCTTGGAATGGAAAACTTATATAAGGTGCAGGAACAAATTTAGAGTAGAATTCTACTTTCATGTATCCAAAAAGATTTGATCATATGTCTCATTTGTCCAATCTTCGACAATTCTTGTTTGCTCTAGTCAACTAGTTAAGGGTCTAGTTACATATGACCCTATGTAGTTAGACATTTTTAATATCCCGGTCCCTAGACTTAACAAATTTACATTGGCATCCTTATTGTTATGAAAATAAAACATTTAACCTTATTTACCTTAGTGTCTTCGGCTTTATCAACAGAAGATATAACATGTTATAGCACATATGGAATTATTGATTTTGTCAATGGCAAAATGATCATTTCAGGCACTAAATAAAAGGTGGAAGAAAGGGGTCATTGGCTTAGGTGCACGATTGGTTTCTTCCCCAAATCAATCTCTTAGGGTTTCTTCCCGCAAAGCGATCTCTTAGGGTTTAGGGCCAAGCTCCTCTACAACACGACAATGTTAAGTTAGTCCTAAACCCTAAGAGATCGATTTGGGGAAGAAACCAATCATGCAGCTGCCTAAGCCAATGGCCCCTTTCTTCCACCTTTTAATTAACTCATAAAATGATCATTTTGCCATTGACGAAATCGATAATTCCGCACATACTATCACGTGTTGCATCTTTCGTTGGTAAAGCTGATGGCATTAGGATAGATGAGGTTAAATGTTTTGTCTTCATAACTATAGGGATGCTAATGTAAATTTTGTAAGTCTAAAAATCCGAATGCTAAAGAGGTCTAATTACAGGAGATAATATGTAATTAGCCCCTAGTTAAAACATCTTAGGCCATTTATTCAACTACCCTGTAATGTTATTTGGTAGCTTAGGCCCACCAGTTTCAGAATCTAACTTTTTCCATGTGATTATCGATGTATATTATTCTCTATGCTAATTTGGCCATTTATGAGACACATGAAGATGGACCACATAGCTCATAAGCTTCTCTCTCAAATTGCACATATTCTTCCTTTTTTCAAAATATCCACTTTGTATTGGATTGATACTTTTACTCGGATCACATACTCAAGATTGACACCTTCATCCTCTCAAAAAAATTGCATATCGCAAAGATGTTGCCAAAAAAAAAAAAGAACTGTTCCAAAATCATCTTTATCCAGTGGTTGGCATGCTCATGCAACTACTTAGTCATAAACAATAAATAGCAAAGTTGGATATGTTTGTTTATTATTCTTCATACATGTTCATATCCTACTCCAGTTAGTTTCATGAATCAATTTTTAAAATCTTATTCATCATTCTCTTTATCTCTATCAGTCACTTTGCCCTGGAAATTTTTATCACTGAAACCAATATCATATCTAACAATTTTGACAATACCACCAGTCACCAGTGACTCAAATGATCTCAAGTTATCGCCATATCAATGGCTTTCCCTTTGATTGCTTTGAACTCTAGTCACAAGACCATGATTTCTAGTTTATTTCATTCCATTTTCCATCACCAAGCATCTGAAAAAACCATATAGCTTGATGTAGCCATCTATGGTACTTCTTCATCACCAGTTAACGTATTGATTCATTTAAATCACATATTCTCCTTCAGTTTCATTTGCTTCCATTAAACAAAGGAATTCTTTCTCGACTCCACTCATCGAGCATGCATCAGTATCAAATCAATTTAATTTTTACTGTTTCAGCCCAATAAGTTCATCTGTTGAGGAAATAAAGTTAAAACACACTAATCTAAAGCTAAGAAAGTAGTAATTTTTGATGTGAAATCTTGTTTTGACACTTATGGTGGCACAAAGGACATACCTGATCTCCCTCAGTTCCTCGAACAGCTCGAGCGAGTAGATGTTATCGTCGTCCGCAAAGTACACGATCCCATCCAGACGATGCCGCTCGATGTGCTCAAGTGCGGTGTTCCGCTGGTGGACACCTCTGTCCTTGATATTGGTCGAGTTCTTCTTGCAGACGAGATGCCTGTACACGACGCCAGTGCCCATGAGAATCTCTGCGGTCTCCATCGAGGCCGCGTTCATCTCCACCACAATCCAGAGGAGGGGCGGCGGGACCAGCCGCAGCGTCTGGCCCAGGCGGCTAAGGTAGTAGCTCTGGGAGGCGCGGTTGTACGTGGGCGTCACGACGATCAGCAACTTATTCCTAGGCGGCGATGGATCCGGTAGGACGTTCGGAAGGGGCTCGTCGTTCGAGTACCGGTGGCCGTCATCAGATCGCACGATCTCGATCTCTGCGTCGCCGGGCCGGAGGACTGCCGCGAGATCACGGCGCGGAAGGCTACCGTTACGGCTGATGGAGGGCGATGAATCAAAGGAGAAGTGGTGGGGCCGCAAGACGAAGTCGTCAAGCTCCGCGAATGGGTAGAGGCCGAAGACGAAGCCGAGGAGGAAGAAGAGGAGCAAGCGGGAGAGGTACCTCTTCCATGAATTGTGGTGGTGCTGGTGCTGCTGCGGCGGCAGCGGCTTGCCACGGAAGGGCTTCCGGAGGAAGACGCCCTCGAACAGCCGGCGAACCGCAAAGAAAGAGCAGCAGGAGTGGGGGTGATGGCGACTGGTGGAAATGCAAGAAGGGAGGGTGTGATTGTGGAGGGACCGATCGTTGTGGATGTGGCTAGCCGCCGAGAGAGCTCGACGGAAGGACGCCATGGCTCAGACGCATCAAGAAAGGAAGCAATTGATGAATTGGATCGAGAAGAGGAAGAGGGAGATGAAACGGAAGGCTTAGATCTGGTGGGTTAAGATAGGGGAAAGGGGAGGAAAGAAGACGGAGATGGACGATGGATTGGGGAGGAGGCGACCTGGATCGCCCAAACGGCGGCCACGAGTGCGGGGTTTCCCCCGTCGCTACATCACAGCTCGGCAGTGGTAGTGTGAATCGCCTGGAACACCCTCGTACGCCACAAAGTTGGAGGAAATACAAGTAAGAGATGGAGGGGCGGAACCGGGTTTTCGCTTCTTATAGCTTTCTCCGCCTCAAATGCGGGTCTCACCTGAAGCAGATTCAACGCGCATCCCTAAGGCATCGGTACCAAAGCTCTCACCGGCCGCCGCCGCTCCCCGAGCGCTGGTGCGAAGACTTGTGATCTGCTTCCAGAAACCGGCACCGTACGCCTGACTGATCCAGACTTCTCTATTAGGGGTACGCCGCGACCAGAGGAACGAGGCTTCGCCTGTGACGGTTGTTTTGTCTTCTTCTGACCGTGTATGAAATGATCCATTGACGTTCCACGCTTACCGGAATGACAGTGCAATACATTTTAATCGAATTTGGAATGAGTTAGATTAAGAAAAAACAGTGGTGCAAAGTTCATCTTTAATTTTGGGTTCTCAGCTGTCGATAGAATTCACATCTAAGCATAATAGTTATCTTAAGACGAAATATTGGGGGGGGGTGTAACCAGGACTCCCATTTCCAAATTCAATTGTACAGTGACGTGACTAATCGTCTTTTAACGTAGCAAAAATAAAAACTGTTGTCAGGAGAAATGAGGAGAGAGTTCGTACTTCAAATCGAGGCTAAATCCAAATACAGCTTGATACCCAAAGGATGAAATTTTAATAGATGCACCCCTTCAACCCATCATCAGCAAAGGGCGAATATAAAACTATCAATACGATTATTTATCGAAAGAAAAAAAAATTAAGTTTTAAACTCAAAAAGGTTTTACAAGTTACAGTTGAAAATAACCAATAAACAAAAACTTATGTTTATACCCAATGAAGTGTATTGATAAAGCTTAAATATTTTAAATTTTGCACTAGCATTTATGATAAGTATAAACATGCAATCCACATCATGCTTAAATTAACTAGTATAAATAGTTGGCATATATAGACAAATATTAAAAAAATAATCATGATAATAAGGAAATAATATGCACAATACCGTAAGAAAAACTTTGTTATTGATTGCACATATGCACAACATGCATGGAAGTCCTGCATTTTTATAGCAAAAAATAATTGAGACATCAACGATAATATGCATTATTGTAGGTATGATAAAATATGATTTTGTATATCAGTCCCATTCGTGCATCCCATTTTTTTCATGTCTTTTCCATAGTTTATTGCCAGCATGAATAACTTATAGAGATAATGTACCAAATATGCCTTTTATAAGAAAAGTGCATTATGTATGGAGAACCTGCAATTCACCACAATCTTAAAAAGCCCTGCTTAGCCTTTATAATGTTTTATGGTGGCACTTACAAAGTGGGGAGTAACTCGAGAGAATTTACCCTCGCTTGCTACCAAAAGTTGCCCTTACGGGAATTGGGCCCTATATCTTGGACTAACATAGGGATTGGGATGCCAATATTGATGATGGAAGAGTTTCTAATGGAAAGGCAAAGGTCATAATGTTTCATGCAAAAACGTAAAGAAACAAGGCCACATGAAAAATAGGTAAATGAAGAGACGATAGTACCTACCTGTTCATACTGAGCAGTGGGATTACTTGACCAAGGTTGACAAGGACGACAGAACCAGTATCTCCACACCAAGTAGTTTGTGCACCTTCCAGTCCCAATTTGCTGTAAATCTCTGGAAATTCTATCCATGTTATAGATCAAGTCTAATCGATGCATCGTATCAAAGACTTACAAAACCTCTCCAAATGTGGATAATTTGTTAAAGAAATTGAACTCTGTGGCCTCCTGAGCACATTAATATCACATGAAATATCAGGAACCAACTCCAGGCTTTGATGCATCGCTGGTTGGTCGATGAGACTATCTTGGAAGACCTAATTGATGTTGCCTTTCTCAGGGTGCTTATCATCAGCAATGTCGCTACGCAGATCAAGACCACTCGGTATCTTACCAGGATAATTGCTGTAACAAGAATCTGAACCAAGCATACTACCAAACAAAACCATTTTGCGTAATCAGTAAAATTTAGATGGCTGAAAAACATAAAGAGTGATTAGAAACTCTCACCTTCTGTCAACCAACACCATAGATCGGAGCTCACAGTTAGCTAAACTGAGGAACAGCAAGTGAAGAGTAAAATAATTATAAGATACTATTCCATTGAACAAATAGTCATCCTATCAACACCAAAACAAGAAATCTGACAGCGGGTACTCGGTAAAAATTATTCAATTGAAACTAGACTCATGCAGTAACAAGTAACAACTGCAATAAAGTGTTACAATACGTGAAAACTAGGACATGTTTACAATTGATAAATGCTATATGTTCATAACTAGGATTCTAGCCTCTTCTATTTTCTAAAATATCTACTTAATTATAATCAAAATATCAAATATGCTGATTCTACTTTTTGAAAGGGTTGGTGCACACCTCAAAATCATGTTTATTCAAAATACTAACTGGACTAGTTCCTTCTTCATCGAACTCCCGTAGTAGCATCATTAGCAATTTTAGTATACCAGGAAATTGAGCTCAATGGATTCTCTAAAGTGACGTCTGCAAAATTCGCCTTCGGTGAACATTTAGAGATCATTCATGTCTATTAAATGCAAAAGTACATTTTCTCAGTTGCATAAGCTTATTCAGGTGTTTCGTAAGGTAATATGACAAGGTGACTAAATCTTCTAGTATCCCCTATGCTGCATGTAAACATGCGAGTCATATTATTACATTTTTTTTGTGCTTCTATTTCCCAACTCCACATCATGCTCATTACCAATAAATCTAACCAGCCAGAAACAAACTATTATGATCAGGTAATTTTTTTGGTCAGTTGATTCATTTTATGCAGTGTATAATAATGCTCCCTAGTATTGGCAGGAGCCTCATGCACAGGTTCATTTTCAGTTCAGGAACCCAATTGCAAGGTTCAATCAAGTTTGAAAAATCTAATTCGACCAAACTGGTAAACCGCTAGCTCCTTTTTCTCAATATGCACAAAGTATAATTTTGTTTATTACTCTATTTATGTTTTTTCTCTCAGCTTTTCTGAACATGGTGTGAAGTAGACAAATAGTACCACTATGAGAACAGAATAAAAAATGTATCAATAGATGCTTACTGTTTGCTGATTTCCTCTTTGACGATGGGATGGCAGTCACTACCAAACATTTTTAGGGTATGATACAAGAGCCCACTATGGCTAACGACAACAATCTCATTCTCTTTTCGTGTCCATAACCTGTAAAGTTAATGAATAAACAGTTAGATGTATAAGGTGAAACAAGTTTCATATAGTTTTTTTTTTTGTTAAATGCAATGTTTTCTTAGGAGCTCCTTCCTGGCCTAATCTACATGCCCAGGAATTGGTCAACCAAATACTAACTTTGCTTAGATAAGGTTTATTAGGTAACGCATCAGGAAGAAGATTTGAGACCTTGAAAGCGAAAAAAAATAGTCATTTCAGCCATTTGAGAAAAAGCATGATAGAGCTGGGGAATCTAGTATATGAATTTAAGTCATATCGTCAACGCCACTATCAAATCAAATCGATCTAAGGAAAAGGAAAACCAGATGTTCCAAGAATATTACGATTCAACTGCAAAGTGTAATGCGATTTTTCCTCGTACACAACATAATGGCATTTACTTTTCCTGTGTTAACTGTTCTGTCGACAGAAGTGGCAAAATAGTAAACGAAACAGGCCTCACTCATAATCAAATTGACCTCTAATATAAACTTAAAAATGATTTAGCTGGTATGTTCAGGTCTATGATGTATTGGATATTGTAAATTATACAAAATACAGTTAATATTCTATTGGTAGCTTTTTTGCTTCGTTAAGTTCATTGATATCGTGTTTTTTTTAGTCTTCAAATAAAAGATTCATGAGTCATAAGCTTAAATAGTAAAGAATGATAATTTACATCTCCAGATAGAAAATCCTTGAAAATCTATTTTAACAAATAAAAAGTGGCACTATGTTGCAAAGCAAGCACAGTCAGGACAAGATACACGTAATGAATATTTAGCTCTTAAGAACTGTAATAGAATTAAAAACTATTCACATGTACAAGACAAGGAGCAGCTGTTATCATGGATTTAGGAGAATGTTAATTTTTCTCATCAAGATATAAAAGAGAACCCTAATCAAAAGCAACATATCTCGACAATTTTGCAGCACTAAGTGAAATATTTATCATCACAGCATCACTAATATCTTTAGGAAAACATTTGACACAGTTATGAGAATATGAAGATGCAAAAGCAGTATTCCTTAGACTCAAAAAGAATGCCAGAGGACCACCAAACTTTGTGAAGCAGTTCAAGAAACAACTAGAAAAAAGTTGTGACTGTTACAAAAATGAGTATAAAGACAATTGAGTCAGCATGAAATATATGTGCCATTAAGCAAACTGAACAACCAGCCTCTGACCAAGAATTTTAATTTCAAATGATACCGCCTGGCTGTGGCAAGGGAAGAAGCATCGAGAGAGAAGAGGAAGAAGACGCTCGAAGAATCGAGAGAACCTCAACACTTTCCGATCTAGCACCGCCCTCCCTCGACGATCCCGATCCAAAAGGTAACAGAGAGGCGACGGCTCGACTTCTTCTTCGTCGGTTCTTCACTTAACACCGCAGATGAGGAGAAGATCGGTCTTCTCCTCATCTAACGCGATGAGGAGAAGCAAAGGAGGTGACATCGCCGAGGTAGCGTACACCTCTTTTTTTTATATATTAGTTTTATATTATTATTATTATTATTATATATACCGAGCGAAGCTCGAAACACTGATACGATACGAAATTATGAACCTTGCCTCTGACTAAATATGAACTCCTTCAGTGACATAAAAATAACTTTACAATTGTATAAATGAATTAGCCATGAACTAAAAGCACAATAATGAATTGGACCACACAATGATTGTAATAGCATTGACGGAAAAACAGGCAATAGTGGTCAGCAAACTGGTCATTCGAGGTTCTGTTGATATTCAGCAAAAGGTAGACAACTAGAAATTGGAATGAAGCTATCTCATAAGAAAACATAAAGAAATTAGTCAAATCCTCAATGGTTTGTTCATGAAAACTTTTTATAATACTGGTTATTTATTCACCAGTTTAAAAACTTTACTCCTCTAGCTGCAACCTCTTCATTTGTCTCTCTGACATCAGCTTTCCACAAGATGTCTTCATCATTCTCTATCTGAAAGAGAGTCAAATTTTACATGATACTCCAACAAAGACTAGCTTTGCAAACTTACTGATACTTGATATAGTCATGAAATTAGTAAGAAAGTACTTGCCAAAGAAAAATCAATTGCAGGGAAAAGATGCCGATATTCGCTTATATTTCTCCTCTTATCACATGGGCGAACTCCCTGCAGTCAGCATAAGCCTTCTAATAAGAAAATCACTTATCAACTTTATTTGATAAATACAGAATGCTTATGGATAAACTTAACATCTAGAATAAATGTGAATTCAGAATTCAAATTGAATGCTAACTTCATAATAAATAACATATACACTTATCACCAAAAGTCCGCCTCGAAGTGCAGCCTATTACTGTTGATCCAAAGCATAATCAATAGAACAAGAGGACAGGCATGAAATACTAATAAATTATGTAAAACTTGGGATAAATCATGAAAAAATATGACATCTATGCTTGAAGACCAATTCTTCTGATCAAATTTGACAGAAGATAAATTAAACAGTAAGGTTAATCTTGTAAGTGAAACTTTAGAATTAATTATCAACCCAGTGGAAAAAGGATAAAGTAATAAATACCAAATGCTCCCGGCAAGATTCAACCGCTACAAATGGTGGAGAGTTCAAGCTTGAAATTGCAGGCCGGTTACTATTCCCAACGTTTTCAACCATTAAGGCAGGCACATTGACCCCATCACTATAGCTGTCTCCTCCAAAAACCCCTACGGCAGTTTGCATTGTTCTGTAGCAAAATTTATACCATTATAACAAAATAACCAGAGCCACGATTAAACTACAATCGCTTGATGCACTGATGACTAATGAACTATGAATTCAATGTAACAAAAACACCGCAACCATCACATTTATCTCATCTTTGCAAGCCTAATGCACAATATGGGTATCTGAGGAAGATCAAATGACCAATATACATATCCTTACCCCTGCAAATAGAGAGATTATATCCACAAAAAGAATCCTGGTCACTCAAATTATAATGGGCAAAACATACCTTATAATGCAAGGTGAAGCCCTTGCAGGACCAAATAGATGACACAATGATGTCAGTTCATTCATATCAATTGTATTTGGTTGTTCAGACAAGTAATATTCGAAACAATTAATTCAATAACAATTGTCCTCTAATTAAACAAGTTGGATCAAGTCCATGAGAACTTTTTACTTCTTTAACAATGTACGGTATAGTATATCACACTATAACTTGTTTTACAGTCTACTAATAGAAAGAAGAGAGGACAGGCACTAATACAACAGTAGGTTGCTCCTTGCAGACTTGGGAGACCAAGCTTCAAGTCTCGGAAATAGCAATATAGAGATAAGGCTACGCATATTGATCCCCGTTAGACCCCGGTTTAGGGGGAGCCTCATGCACTGGGTTCTCCCTTTAACACATTGATGAGCATGTCATAGTGCAATCATTTTCTTGTACTTGTTGTGCACCTTATGATGTCTTGTGTTTGATATCAAGAAAAAATAGAACATTATGAACATTCTTGCTGTGCCTCTTCTCAACTCCTCTCCTTTTTCTCCTCTGTCCTTCTTGGTGTTGATCGGCGTGACAGCCTACTATGCGTTGGTATTTTGGTGCATACAGGATTTGTAGTGGTCCAACCACGGACCAATAGATGTCCGGTATCGAGATTTGAAGCCATGACTGGAACATTTTGATTTTTGTATTTATTCCACATGCTGCTGAATTTAATGAATCAACATTATTAGTTCTTAGCTGTTTTGTAGTAGTATATTATTGTGAAGAGATATATGATGAGTTAGATATTGTGGAGAGATATTTAGGGTATGAAAATTTTAAATGCATGTGATTGGTTTGAGATCATTTATTCCTTCAGAACTTGTTATACTGTTACAATATATTGGGTCTAAGACTTGTATTTTTTTTCTCAATTGGAAAGCGATTCTAACTTTAGAAGAAAAAGAAGGTAAAAATGCATCACTTACAAACACAAGACATCATAAGGTGCACAACAAGAGGAAGAGGAGGATGAGGACTGAGTGAAGGAGCTAAGGTTGATCGACAGCTACTCTCTAATGCGGATAATCATGCATCACTTACAAACCTACAACAGCTTCAAATAAATCATATATCAATTCTCTCTCTCTGAAACTACAGAAAAAGAGTTAAATAACAATTCCCTTGGATAATGGTGGCAGTGGCGAGCTAAACAGGATTCAAGGGGAGTGGGGAGTAGAGAGAGAGGTGTTTAAAAGACGATGTCACTGTCAAAATTATAAAAAAAAAATCAAACTGATGCATTAATAAATCTTATTTGAATGTGTCCATAACATCTTAAATGATTCTTCTCACTATAATATGTATTTATTAGTGGAACACCAAAATTTTCAGGTGTCTTAACAACATTGAATTTTCATACAACAAAACAATAAACCTTCATCAGTTTTCATGAGTCATGAACTAATCCTTTGTCTAATTCTGCATGTTACTGTGTTTAAGGTATTACAAAAGTTGTAAATCATGTGGCTGGATGCAAACTGGACATTACATGTGATAAAAGTGGTGCCTCCTAAAGTCAAGTTAAGCCAAAAATAACATAGATGACAACAAGGATATTCTTTTTAAGAGGAAGAGGAAACTTGGGTTTCACGACATTCACTAAACTCTTAGATAAAGGATAAGCCTGCAGTCGCTTGGTGCAATACCAAAACTAGAACCATCTTGACACAATATAGCCCCACCTAATGGAACTCCCAGAAAGTTCAAAATAATGGAAATCACTTGCACCAAAGTTTTAAAAAAAAAATCTTCAGAACTTCAAAGAAATAAGGGCGACAGAATCAGCATCGGTGAAGATTTTCTTCTCGAAAGAAAAAAAGACTATTGTTCATGATTTGAGTGCAAAGAAAAGGCACAGGACTGACAGCACCAAACGCATAATGTACACATGGCAACTCTGATCCTGTGGCAGTTTAATCCTTGATGTTCTAACAAAAGACTCGAGGCTCTAGTACAACATGACAAGGCCTAATATGTCCAATGATATTTTCAAATGCATTGAAAAGTGTAATACATGGAGATCTGTCCTCTTTCTACTTGTTAATACACAGAATTTGAATTAAAAAAGGGACAAAAATTCATACTTCAAATTAGTCAAATAATTCATATAAGGCATATAAGGATTCTACCTTAGCAAAGGAGAGGTGATAACCAATTGAATTTTCTTATATAGGCCGCAGGCTCTAATGTGTTTACGGAGATTATCGACCTGTAAGAATAACATAAATATAATTAAGCAATTTTAACTATCGGTCACAGGAAAGTTTCATAACAAGCGCATTATTAACATGTTAAAATATGAAAAAAGAAGTACCAATAAGTTGAACAAGCATGCATATTATCATACACAAAATCACTGAAGGATAACCGAACAAGTGTTGTTAGTTCTTGAAACTCCGCTCAACCATTCTTTATGCTGCTTTGTATAGATTTTATCTTTGCCACATTTCTCTCTGTGTCCTCTTACCTATTCATGCCACACACAAAGGCCTTTGTATCTCTTCCTCAATCCCACTTTGCACAAAGGCGTCCACAATTTTTTCTTGCAAAACCATTCCACTCATGGGTTAGTTAGGAACTTGTGTCCAAGGTTGCCAAAGCACCCTGATGGTACATAGGAGTTGGAATCCTTACATGCCCATGCACCACCAAGGCAAATAAGCAGATCACCTAGTAACTTTAGGCAATTTAATTTTCTAAAAATTAACAATAAAAAAATAATGTTAAATATAATCTCAAATCTGAGCATACAGTTGATTGTGCAACAATGCATAGCCAGTAAAAGCTAAAGTCAATTAACAGTTTAATATAAAGCAAGTCACTATATTTTTACTCCATCAAACTATAAATGGTCTTGAATCTTGTATTAATTTTTCAATTCAATATTTTAGCATTTTTGCATGGTCAAAAAGAACTACCTCTTAAAGCTTATAAACCTTAAAAGGCTAATAGAACCTTGTTTCACCCCAAGTATCGTTTGTCAGGCCTGGACTCATGGGGCAAATATATTAAAATAGTTTTTAACCTAGACCTCTTAAGACAGGTTGGATTAGAAAGGCTAGAAAGGCAAGCCCATTTAAGCACCTACACATGCATCTAGGCACCCATGCGCCAGCATTTGATAGCATTACTACCAACCATATCCATTGTTGTATGTTAAACTGCAAAGCCTAAAACTATTGAATCCAATAATGAATAAACCATTAAACTAATCTGAGAACTATACCTCGAAAATTATGAAGAATACCTATGTACATGTATTAAAATAAAAGAAAATTGACATCCACAGAAGTCACCTATATTGATTATATCTCTAAATATCAAAGAAAACAATAGTATGCAAAATGAAAAAAGAAAGACTAAATTTGCCTAAGTCAATTATACCTAGCCAGTAGAGTCCAATTAAGCACTTGGGTGATACCTAGTGTCCTAGGCAGCAACTTTGAATAACACTAGCTACATCTAATTCACTCATATGTAAACCCAACTCCATGTGAGCTCGTGCTATTACAGGACTATACCTATTAACATCTCCATCCATCTCACAAGATTATGCAGCCATCTGACGTCCTCTAGTCACTTATCTAATGGCCCTAGATCCTTCAGTTTTTTTTTTTAACTCACTTCACTCAAGTAAGACTCGCACTTGGAGTAAGACTCACTCTCCTGCTCTTATGACGCACATCAGTAGGCTGTCTCCTCAGAGACCCTTCAAACTCCATTTCAACAAAATCACGTCACTTTGTTTTATCTAACTTATGGATATCTTTCTTTAGTTCAATATGGAATCTCCTACCACATCCATACATGGCTTTTAATAGTAGTCCATCAAATGATCAACAAAACTGAAAAAAAAAAAAAGTGCATATATTCAACCAAACATTCTTGACTGCCCTTGGATCCAATCAGGCTAGACTACTCAAATAAATAACATGCAGCAAACAGAGAGAAAGAAAGTCATTTATTGTACCTGATCCCATCCCAATGGAGTAAGGGGTGCATCAAAAAGTTCTGGAGATAAGTATGCTCTGTAGTCTTTTTCACCTTTCACATTATGAATGCCTTGTGCATGTCTGACCTACATACACATTTTGCATGTAATAGATTAGAGTTTCAGGTCCCAAAAAAAGAAAAATCTTTGGTATAAGGCCACTTTAGAAAATATATTTAGCTAAAACGAACCAGGTGCACAGTTTTACAGCGCTGCAAAGGAAACAAACTTGAGCTAGTGACACCATTCATATCTGCAGATAACCAAGTTAGAAGCTAGTGGCATTCAGTCAATGCAAAACCAGAGCAACTAGTGTCAAATTATAAACCTAAAGCATTGTCTAAAATTCTCTATTGAAAGGATGAGTAATACAAGGAGATTTGCAGATAATAAAATTTAATGTTTTTTAACTTTTCAACTTGGTGCTAGCCCAACTAAAATACTTTGAATCAGTGGTTCAAAAGAATCAAGTTAAATGTTTTGAAACATCTATGTAACCTGAACTATAAACAGTGGTCCTACACCATGAAGTACAAGAGATGAGGATGTGAATGTAAACTGGGCTGCCCCATGCAGACATATCAGCTCTAGGATCCTTGCCATGCCAAGCCATATCCACATAGTATTTTTATGTCCATCTGGACACATATCCACATATTAATTCTAAGTACATTGTTGGCACATTATCTTACCTTTTTCCTAAAGATAATGAGTGACCAATCCAGCAAAAGAACTCAAAAGATAAATCCATATCATTAATTTCTTCATGCTCGTTCCAAGTTCAAAATAATGTTTGTACGAATAAGAATCCCCTTCTTTACATGATTTCATCTCCATATAGATAAATATAAGGCCTATGGGGCAATTACTCAGAACTACATTCTGCAGCAAGCCTTCCTAGATGACAACAAGAATCCCATTAGCCTCATTAATCATATATTCATTAAAAAAGAAGTTCCTGTAGTTAAGTTCAAAGACTAGAATAGTTGTCAATGGAGGTGCAAAAACTTTATGGGCGCACCTTTTGAGATTTTCTCATCAAGAAAACTAGTCGTCACGATTCTCACTCCTTCCCTATAACTCGAGGACAACTGGCCGTTGAAAGATGTGTTTCGCTACGTGATAGACAAAAGGTTTTGGAAAAATTGAACTAGATAAGGCAGACTGGCAGTTACCATAAGGTGCCTCCTCCACCTACTTTGAATTCTTTGATCAAATATGTGACCCTATCTAAGAAACGCAGGCACCGAGTCTACTAGCTTCCCTGTGGACTACCGATCTACAAAATTACAAACCCTCTGTTGAAATCTCCTAGCTCAACTTTTCTTGAACATATCATTCTCCCTTAACCATGTTCTTTGCTCAACGGCTTAATGCTTTTGCATTCTTACAAGTGATAACTGGGAGGAACAAGAAACCTAAACTTCTCTACGATTTTATGGAATTACTAGTACAATTTTTCTTTCCCAGTCGTTACCAATGCTGTCTTCACTCGGATTTCCGAACTGCCTGCCGCTGTGCGACTATTCGTCATCGATAAAACAAAAACGAAAGAAAATCAATCTCTAATTACGAATGGTGGAGTAACCGTACGACAAGACAACCATCAATCAAAGAGAGCAAGGGCAACGATCTTCTTCTTGACCAGGCAACCAATTTAAGGAGCACGCGAACGAGATCAGATCAATAAGGGAAGGTAGGTAGTCTCTTCCTTTCCTTGATATTTACCTGGGAAGCCGGAGGAGCAGCGGGGACAACACGGCCAAGTAGAGGCGGAAGAGAGCGGGAGGGGAAGAAGCGGTGGAGACGAGGATGAAGAGGGGAGTGCTTTGGATGCATTATTAATATGTGGTGCAGATGTGGGGAGGAAACGAAAGCCCAACTTTTGTGGAACTTAGAATTCCAGCCCAAGTATTTGTTTTGGAATTTTCTTTATTTTATGTTTTTTTTTATCTATTAACAACCTTGTTATTCGTAATCTCTTTAAAAATAAATATTATTTTACTATTTATAATCCTAATATTATTGATTTTATTTTTTTTCTACAATCCCTTATTAGTCGTAATCATCATCGTCTTTTATCGTCGATGTTACTTGACGTCATCCCGCTTGAAGAAACGAGAAATTTATTATAAAAGGGATTGATTTCATTTTAAAGGAGAGATTTTCACTCAAATTTATAATTGATTCTCGAATTATAGATTAATTGAGGATTAGAATATATAAGGAATATAAAATTATCATTCCATATTTGTTTATATTAAGATATTTTCTCACCATTGTCATCTTCGAAGGAAGATGAAAAATAGCAAAAAGAGGAGGTAGAGGATGAAGAGAAGTAGAGGAGCATATTTAGGTATATTTATAATTTAGAAATATTTAAAAAAAATTAAAATATGATTGTAAATAAGAAAATGGGGGTTATAAATAGCAATCTCATTTCTTTATTTCTTTAACTTGAACTAATTAATATTAATGAACAATTTATTCAAAATATATATATATATGTATTTTAATTTTTTCACATCATGAAGAGCTTTTTTTTATCTTAATGTAGTGCGAAATAGGTTTTTTTTTAATATTTTTGTTACCGTTGATTTCCTATATTTCAAATTTTATTGCATAAAATCGTGCAAAAATAACATATTTGAGGCTTCAGACTCTCAAGTATTTACGTAATGTGGATGTATCAAATCTATTTACTAAGGATTGAAAATCATATCCGCTAAGGATCAATTATGAAGTATTCATAAATACTTATCATTCTTTGATTTAGGTTGATAGGCTTTAATGATTACCATGAAGACGAGTCACATGAACTACAGAATCCATGACACATCTCCTCTCTCGTACAAAGATCCCTGAATTAAAATGTTAACCTAAAACGATCAAGGTGTCCACATTAGTGTCACACATTCTTCTCTTGTAGATTTTGAAGTTTTTTGTCACGTCATGTTAAAACCGATCAAATGTTAACTCTAAATAGTTGTGTATTATTATTATACTTATATTTCAATATTTTTCATCACGAAAGATTATTTCGATACAATAATTAGGTTTTTTGATAATTTTTATATGGTTTATGTAACTGCACAAATTGGATTCATAATGCTTTAAATTTTTTATTTCTTTATGAGTGTATTCCTGATTGATATAAAGGACACTAAGAAAGTTACAAGAACTTATGCTTTTTTCTTTAAGGAACGTATAGAAAATGATCAATATTTGTGTAGCTATTGAAACTATGTGACACTAATCCTCTAATCCTCTGACCACAAGCAAAGAAGATTTCATGGTCAAGCAATTGCAGGAAGCAGCATCCTGTTGACCTTTGACTTGTCGCAATGTTGTTACTTAGCCAAAAATAAAAAAGTCAATGCACAGCCATTAATCCCAGTGATCGATCACATCATACTTTCAACCTTGTTTGGGACTCCATAAATCCGTGCAGTTATTGTCGTGATGGGGTGCACGCCCTAATGGTTGCAGACAATGAGATGATGGGATGTTTTCTTTGTCATCGATGTCAATGTACACAGAATTGCAAGATACATGAACCAGACAATCTACAATAATTGGAAGATACTGGACATCTCTCTCTCTCTCTCTCTCTCTCTTCTGCCTTTCTTCCTCTTGCAGACACTTCGCCGTGCCTCCATGTGAAGCCACTTAGACTGACATGATAAGAAACCATCACAAGTTGACTGTGGATCTGTTACAGATGTCTCTCCTGGTCAAGATCATAGCTTGTGACTGAAGGAAAGCTGCATGCACACTGCTGAAGAGGCTCTCTACATTAATTTTCTGAGGATCGAGTCCAACTCCATGTCGGTAGCAGTCTTATTTATTTATGTCATTCATGTGCTTTATTAAATTATTGACGAAAGATGGGAGTACCTATTTAATTAATTTTATCTGACATATATGATTGTTATGTGATAGTTCAATGTGAAAAAAGAAATAGAGCCTATCTTTCATTAATCTAGACAATATAGATGATTACGAACTGTTTTCCTTTGTTATCCCTATTAATAAGAGCGAAAAACTGTTGAATAGGATTAAAGATTATTTTTTTTATAAAATATTTTATTAAATATTATGTTCCTTTATTATCAAATATAAAAGTTCATCTTCAATGTAACGAAGGGATGTTATCTTTTTTTAACCACTAGCGTTTACACTCACGTAACTTGGGTTACTGCATCGATGCAATATTGGTTTCTATTCAACGACCTAAGCCTCTCACCCTTAGGAATAACCCTAAGCTATTTATTTATCCACTCGAGTTGTTCTCAAATCTCACCTAGTAAGTGTGGATGCTAATAGTTATGATACAGGTCATTGGTCTACTTTTGTCCTAGTTAGCCCAATAGGCGATACCACCATCTCAATGGTGGTATTCTAGTTGCCTCACCAGTTCGACTCCTCGAGCCTTTGCCTCAATGATAAGTGTTGGGTCACCCCTTTTCCTCTTCAGCCCCTCCATCTCCCCATCGAGATTATCGATCATAAGGGACTGATAATGAATGATAGAGCTGATGTTTTGTATATGGTCAAGAATAGTCATAACATAATGATGATATAAGTCAAAGATAAAGAAGCACCTTGAAAAATTGCAAGAGTAATCAATGTGCAAAGATTATCTTAAAAAAAAATACAAAACTAACCAATGTGCGAAAACCCGAAAACCCGACCCACGTAAGTAAAACTCACTATGATGAGAGGCACAAGACAAAATATACCCGAGGCACATGAGTCAGAAAAATATGACCCTCATAAAAAAAAACACAACATAGCGAAACGTATAAGACAAAATATGCCCGAGGTGTATGAGTCACGAAAACCCAATCTGCATAAGAAGAAATATGCCATGGTGAGAGGCACAAAATAAAATGTGTCTAAGGCATGTAAGTTGGAAAAACCCAACTCATGTAAAAAGAAACTCATGAAAGCGAGAGGTACAAGATAAAATGTGCTTGAGGTGCGTGAGTAGAAAAACCCAACTTACGTAAGAAGAAACTTGCTATGACTGGAGGCATAAGATAAAAAAAAAAAAATTATACACATAAGAAGAAACCTACCATGGCGGGAGACACAATGTGAGATATGTCCTAAGAATATGAGTAAGAAAAACTTGACCTGTATGAGAGTAAGTCTACCACGACGAGAGACACAAGGGAAAAAAATACCCGAAGCAAGGAGGTAGAGCACCGACCCCTTCTTTACTCGAGGAGGGTAGGCTTCCCAACCGCACGAGAGTAAGTCATGGAGGTTCAGAAGCTTGACCCCCCACCTTCACCAAAGACGAGGAGGTCGATAAACCCAGCCCCTACCTTTGCTCGAGGTATGGAGGTCGAGAAACTCGACCCCGTCTGACTAAGATGCATCTCTCAATGTTACAGGGTAGGTCGGTGATGGATTGCCATTGGCAATGCTTGAGCATGATAAACTAAATGTGTTAGATGAACTAGGCATGCCACCAAATCGACGATGGATCGAAGAGGTATAAGTTTAACATATTAGATGAACTAGACATCGTATTTCAAACCCCTATCGCGAAAGCCTCGAAGCACGCCATGAGGGGGATAAATGATAGGGAGTACACTATTAGCCAATCTTCCTTCGACATGTGATCGTCATATAGTGTTTGAAATGGAAGGAGAGTTTGGAGGCCACCCTCCACCCATCTGCCCACGTGGGTAAGGGTCCAAAGTAGAAAGTTATGAGTTGTCCTCCATTGTCTCTCATGTGGACAAGAGGTCAATGGGAAACTATTGAAGGCGGTTATAGGCTACCTCTTCGCAGAATATTTCATGAAATATTTTGTCATTTTTTGACCATATATAAAGCTCATCTTCAACACATAATAGGGAGTTACCTTTTTTTAACCGCTAGCGTCCACACTTATATTCCTCGAGTTTGTATCTTGAGCATCAAAGAGACTGGGTCGAGAAACCTCTATTGACCTCAGTTTTCATGCAAGTAGTATTTTGGGAGCTTAACATTTCTATCTTGAAGGCACCTCGATCAACCTTACACATGGGTCTGGACCATGTCAGGTTAACTAGGATATTAACAACTTTTTCCCTCAACAATGAGTTATATATATATATATATATATATATATATATATATATATATATATATATATATATATATATATATATATATATATAGTAAGAAACAATAGTATACTCTATTATTACGAGAGAAATGATCAACATAAGAAAACAAAGATTCTGCTTTCAGAAAACTATTTCATGTGATCATAGCGACAAGTGGTCCTCGGAGAATCAAAATAAAATTCTTCCACTTCTATGATTTAACTGATCATATATATGTTTTCTGAAACAATTTTGTAGTAAATAACTGCTGTTGTTGATTCCTTGTCTATTACTTCTCCTTGTGCTAATAAGTGGATAACCTGTTTGAATCAATTTTCTGAATCAATCTGTCAGAAATATTCACATCAATAATAACTCGACACATAATAGTTCCATCAACAGTGAAAACGCATAACAGTGAAAGAGCATAACCTAATCAACATCTAGACCACGTGGAGATCAATCCAAAACAGTAATCCAAGGAATATTCTAAAAATAATGGGATACAAAATATTCTATCTACACCATAAAATATTCCCATCACTTAATTTGTTCTAAAAGATATATTAGATAAGCTAATCAAGATTAATTATTATTTATTAAAATCATTCTGTTTATATTAATTATTGATTTGAACATCGGAGAAATCGGATCGAAAAACTTATATGATATCAATTTTCATACGGATTAATAGTGGAGCAAGACATCTAAGTCTACTTCAAACTTAAGCTAAGTTTGTGTCTCCCTTTCGGCCACATCAATCTTTTTGCACAAACGATCAGACTGATCTAAGCATCACCAACGTCCCTGCTATCAAATCTAAATCTCAAAGTTAAAAATCTTACTAAACCTGTTTTTTTTTTTGCTTGAAGATAAGACAGGAACAAATTCCAGTAAATTCCCATCTACAACTCCATTTTTATCACGTTGCTGCTCTTATCGGCCTCTACAAGCAATCATTGGTCGATCCATCCATCTCTCTCTAGATTCGTTTTACTGACATCCCTATCAATGTCAATAGAACGTGACCATCCAACTAAAATAATGTGGAGATGAGGATGAAGAGGGAGGAGAGATGATTGATGTCATGTTCGCAAGCCGTCTAAGAAACGCATCTTTCGATGACTGCAATCAGTACTCTATAATAGTAATCAAGTGTAGAGGGCATTGATGGTTTAGGTGGCACAGTAACTCCTATCATTGTTGTGTCAGGTGGGGCGTCACCAAAGGTTGGCTGCAAGTGCGTCGTCTCCCCCACTGGCCTACTCTCTTCTTCTTTGGAAGATGGGCGGTGGCGAAAAGGAAAGAAGAATGTTTATTGCTGAAAGTAGCAGACGATAAAGAGGAATGGAGCAGTAGTCGGAGAAGGAGAGAGTAACCAAGAGGCTGATTAAAGACGGGCTGAAACAGGAAGAGAAGAAGGATCTGTATCTGAATGGGGAGGTGGAGTGTAGAATTACGACGCAGTCTTGACTTCTAGATCAGTGCGGAAAGCCGAGGTACCGCTGCGAGCCTCGGGAAATTTACTTGTCCTGATGCGGTGGCACTTCCTTCTCACTGGGATGCAGAAAAGCCAAGACGGTGATGATGACGGTGATGTGCTTGTGATATATAGGATGTGGAGGTGCGCAAGGAGGAGTCCAATTGTGGAAGAAGGCACAGAAAGAGAGTACCTTTGAGAGAAGAAGTGAAGTGAGCGAGCGATGGGAGGGTGGCGGAGAGCCTTCTGCACGTCGGCGACTGTGGTGGCCAGGACGGAAGCAGGAGAGAAGAAGCAGCAGAAGCAAATCATGGGCAGTTCGAGCCCCAGGAGTTGCGCCAAGCTGAGCTTCTTCTCCGGCGGCGGCGGACGAGGGGGGAACAGCCCCTCGACGCCGCGGCTGGCGCTGTGCCGGACTAGTTCCGAGTCTCCGGACAGCTCGAAGCTGCAATGCGACAAGCTTCCCAGTCCCGCCACCGCCAGCGTCAATACCAGCAGGAAGAACCGGAGTCCAGCTCTGTTTCGGCGGAAGGCTCTGTCTACCCCTTCTTCTCCAAGATCCCCATCCGGGTTCGCCCTCTTCAAGCAGCTCTCCCGGGTATGCATTCCCTGCCTCCAAAAATATGCTTCTTTCTCGAAGATGACTGCGGAATTCTTTGATTCCTGCTGTTTGATTTCCATAAAGATCCAGCGGTCATGGTGTTTCATTTAATCTATCTCGGCGGCTGGATCTCGTTAGGGACTCCCAGCTTCTGGGCGAGCACCATGGTGCGCAGCCTCATTGCAGAATGATGAGGGATGGAACGAGTTCTCTCCCCATCTTTTCCGGTCGTTTCAGTTTCTTTTTGGGTTCACAGCCTTTTGATTGCCATATCAGAGCAATTATCCTTCTTTTGACTCTTCTCGTTGTCATAGACGATCGCTGGTATCTGTTGACGTCTTCCTCTTGGGTTGTTGACGTTGTTTTGATGCGGTGGTGGCGGTGGAATTGCAGAGTAGGTGCCGGATATGTACGCAGAGCCTCAGGGCGAGCCGGGAGATGCCGGTCTTCACGGCGGAGTGTTCCCACGCCTTCCACCTTTCCTGCATCGCTGCCCACGTCAGGAGCATGCACGGCAGCCTCGCGTGCCCCGTCTGCTTCGCCACCTTGCGTCGAGCACAGTTGCCCTCCGCTTTCCACCACCAACAAGAGGATGCAGTCGTCGAACAGGTGCTGGCCGGAGAGAGCGAGAACCGGAACAACCCGAACAGAAGAGCTACTAGCGGCGGCGATAGGAATGCTATCAAAATGGGGGAACGGCAGCTGGGACAGAACAGACTGACTGCTGCTGCTGTTAAGGTCTACGACGACGACGAGCCGCTGCTCATCGTGTCCACGACCAACAAGGGCGGAGGTATGCGGTTCAACCCAATTCCAGAAGCAGCAAACGAGGATGAAGATGAACGTGGGAACGATGAAGATGACTTGGAACGAAAGAACAAGTTCCGCGGGCTCCTCGCGACCCCTCCCTCTCCTAGAAGCCATGGCGGCGGAGTCCCACGTCGGCCGACAACGAGGTCCAGGGCGGGTGGCGTCCAGGTGAGCATGATGCCGCAGGCAGCTCTGCTCTCCGAAGGGCGGAGACACCGGAATTATGTGGTGATGCTCAAGGTGAAAGCGCCACGGATGCGGCCTGCGAATCTCCTCAGCCCAGCGGGCGGGCGCACCCCAATCGATCTGGTGACGGTGCTCGACGTAGGCCAAGGCATGACGGCCGACAAGCTCCAGATGCTGAAGAGCAAAATGCGGCTGGTGGTCTCGTCAATGGGCCCTGCGGATAGACTCTCCGTGGTGGCCTTCTCGGCGGTCGCAGGTGCCAAGAGGCTGCTCCCTCTTCGACGGATGTCGAGGCAGGGCCAGCGCGCTGCCCGCCAGATCGTGGAGAGGCTTGTCGTGGTGGGCGGCGGCGCCCCGTCAGGGGAAGAGATCGTGGCTGATGCGCTCAAGAAGGCCACCAAGGTTCTGGAAGACCGCAGGGAGCGCAACCCGGTGGCCACCATCATGCTCCTATCCGACGCCCGGCAGCAGCAGTCGCAGGACCAAGGAAAGGAGGACGAGCACAACTACCATCACACACCTCTTTCCTCACCACGGGATGCTGGTGATGGCGATATCCGGCCCCATCCCCTACCGATGATGACTTCTGCCGGCCCCGCCACTAGTTATGCACATCTGGCGATTCCCCTCCACGCTCCTGGGTTTGGTGATGGAGCAGCGGGGCCGTCGCCGCAGAAACAGAAGGAGGAATCCTCCGAAGACTCCTTCATGAAGTGCTTGGGTGGACTCGCGTCCTTGGTCATGCGGGACGTCCGCCTGCAACTTTTCCTCCCCTCCGGCAAGATCTCTGCCGTCTACCCATGCGGCGGCGGTGGTGGTGGCGGCGGCGGCTGCAGAGAGGAGGCTCCCGGGGAAGGGAGCTTCGTTCTTCATCTGGGAAACCTCTACGCCGAGGAGGAGAGGGAGCTGCTGGTGGAGCTGCGAGTGCCAGTGTCGTCGTCGGCTGCTTCGGCACCGGAAAACAGCCACCATCAGCTGTCGGTGAAGTGTAACTACAGGGATCCAGCCATCCAAGACGTCATATTGGACGCGGAGCAGATCCTTCTATTGCCACCCCTCCTCCACAGCCAAGCAGCCTCGTCATCCTCCTGCTCCGCGACCTCCCAGTGGCTGCGGAATCTCTTCGTCTCCACCCGGGCGTTGGCCGAGTCGCGGCGCCTCGCGGACCTCTCAGACTACGCCACGGCCCACCACCTGCTCTCCTCCGCCCGCTCGCTGCTTCGGCAGTCCGCTTGCGACGCCCAGGACCACGGCCTCATCCAGAACCTGGAAGCAGAGCTCGCCGACCTCGAGCGCCGCCGTCTACTGAGGAAGCAGCACCAGCTCCCTCGTCATCAGGAGCAGCAGGAGGAGTCCCTCTCGCCATCCAATAGGAGGCGGCGGCGGCGAGAGCCTCCGGCGGAGGTGCGAGGGGAGCAGCTGACGTCCACTTCGGCATGGCGCGCCGCCGAGCAGCTGGCGAAGGTGGCCATGATGCGGAAGTCTCTGAACCGGGTCGGTGATCTGCATGGTTTCGAGAACGCCCGGTTCTGAGCAAACCGGAGCCAATTGGGTTCAACTTCATATATATCCGGTTGAATGATTGTACGGATCCTGTAAATGAATTTTCATTTGTACAATGTTGTTATACTTATCAGATGCATGAGGAATAGTACTAATTGGGTATAAAATGACTTGCCATTAGTACATCAAAGTGGTTTCTTTTTGCCCTAATTTGGGTGTTAACCTTTGGTGAGGCTTGATACATTGAACATGATACATCAAACTTAGTCAACAAATCGACAGTGCTGGATAAGCATAAACAGATGGCATAACTCAGATTTATATTTCTAATATTAGATCGAGCAAGAAGAATATAATACAAAATCTATCGGAAATGGATATAGAGATTTGATATGATGAACTAATATACAAGATGAGGAACACCGCAATCACATACTTGACTATCTGTCAATTTTCTCTGTGTTTGTGTCATCTGATGGTCAAATGACGGTTTCCATCAGCCGTTCGCGCATCAGCTGTAGGTTGGTTTTCATTCCGAAATTTGTTGATAGGTTTTTGCATGCTCACATTTCTGTCAGTCAAATCCAAAAGGTATTAGCTTCTTATTTAGAGAAATATTTTGATTCTGTATCCAAGTGTATCATATAACATGCATTACCTTAATCCATTTGCCATATAGATGAAAGCGTGTTATCATCACTCTTTCCAATATTTTTACAATCCAAACCTTTACAGCCAAAGATACTAAGGGGGAAAAGCCGTGATCGAAGCTAACAAATTCAATACCTTTGCCGGTATGCGGAGAAAGCGTTTACCATCAGATGGTTTATTGTCCTGCAAAACATCACACGGTCATATGAATACAGTGAATGAAATTTATATAATCAAATTATGCAAAAAGCATTATAAAATGTATCACTATAGAATGGCTTACTTATATAACCACATATAACTTGGTGGGTTCATTTCATGCAGCTGGTGGAGAACAGTCCTTGCTGCTTTATAGGTGAAGTAATTAATTAGTTGCTGCAAAGTCAACAGATTGTCATTAACATAAATACAGAGATGCAAGATACTTCGATCTGATATATATTGACCATATTCTGAAGTAATAATATTCTATATCACAGTTAGGCGATGTTTGGAAAGCCAGACATCTCCGCGAAAGAGAATGAGTAAGAAGTTAATTTAATCATAATAGTTGTTCATTTCAGTGATACAAGACAAAAATAACAGAACACAGTTTGCTTGTCAAGATAAAAATACAAGAATGGTGCTTTAGCACTCTGTTCTCCTATCAATGTCTGTTCAAGACCTTTACAAGACATAAATCATCAGTTTTCTTCATCACAATATCCAACTAAGGGTTAAAAAGTTACCTATTTTATCATGATTATCAAACACCATACTTGCACACTTCAGCTACTACTAAGAATCAGGTACCGCTATCTTATAAAAATTTGACATCGAAATGATAAACGGTTTTTCGTTATTTCAGCAAACTAAACATTTCCTCTTGTCATCTTTTGATGGTAAAGTCATTGTTAACTAGTATTTTACATAAATCCAGCACTAGTTCAGTGGTAGGGGAATCAAGGCCTTGTAAGGGTAAGGTGTTATCTCCAACCTCATAGGTACCTTTTGACCATATGAGATTGCCCAGAGTGAACATTCCTTATCAGCCAACTACCGCGAGCTGACATCCCATGAGGACAAATGATGAAGTCCACCATGAGACCTCTAAAAGGCCTTGACTTCCCTACGAGGGCGGGCGCACTGATGAGTGAGCTATTAATCTCATAAGCCAAGAACCAATGATGACTCTAACCACATACTAACCTGATCCAATATTTTCTTTTCCTTCTAAATTATGTAGGCTATCAATTTCAAATTATATATAGAAAAACCGGCAATAGAAAGACAAATCTTACAAGAAATGAGGAAATGAGGCAATCATTAGTCACCTATTCGCACTACCATGCAACGGAAGCTACATAAGCAATTCATCGAGCATCTAAAGGGCAAGCGTGAAACATTACACGGCAGTTACCCTTTTACCACACGAACGTCGTCGAATCCCTCTTCGTCCTGCCCGCCAATCTCGGCCACGACCAGGCCGCACGTCCTCCTGCTTCGCGTCTGCCGCTTCAAGAGCGCCGGCGCGAGGCGGCCGCGTCGAGCGTGACAGGCATCGAGGAAGGAGCTTCCGAGCTCGAGGGAACAGCCCGGCGGCCTGAGCGGGGGGCCGCGTCGAGCCCGAGGCAGGGCGAAGGCAGGGAGTCCACGGCGATGTCCCCTAAGGCCATTGATGCGGCCATCTCGTGCCCAGATTCCAGTAAGGTCGGTGTCGTGGTCGTTGTTGTTTTTGTTTTTCGTTTTTTCGTTTTTTTGTTTCAAGAAAAAAAAAAACTGTGTTAAAACTTGGGTTAATTATAAATTAACTCTAGATTTAAAAAATTTACATTGAAATTACTATAATCATCAAAGTAAAATATTTAGATTTATTTATACTAACGTTACTAATTTTACTTATAAAAACATAAAAACAATGTGAAAAAAGTAATTTCAACGTTATAGTTGGTGGTGACTAACGGTGGTGTCGTTGGAGGCCGTAGGTGACTGTCGTAGATGAGAATAGTGACGATGAGAGATGAGAATCGTTTTACATATGCGTGATGTCGAGCTGTCACGAACGGTTATCGCGCACTCGCAACAATTTCGTTCAACGAACCGTTCGTCATTTTTGTATGCTTGAATAGAGACATGGCAACCTGTTTTGCCTTGGCTTTGTGTGTTTTTGCTTGTAAAAATACATGTTCGAACAGGTTGCAATGCATAGTGTGATTGCTCACTGCACCGAGTCAAAAAGCCCCAAATTGGCTCCGTTTTTGCATGTCGCGGGCTGTTTTCTGCAGCCCGCTGCACCCGCGAAATGTCAGTTATCTCAGCACCCTGGAACCCCCCGGGTGGCACAGGGCTGGATGGGGCTTCGGTATATTGTCGGGCATTGAAAAATCTTCACAAGTTCGTACGTTGACTTGACGGGAACTTGCCTTCGTGCCTAGCGCCCGTTGAGCAATTGTTTGTGGACTTACAACTATTTGTTCTACCTTCTAAAGTCTTTGTTTTCCTTATTTCTCTCTTTTCTTCTGTGCACACAAGGTGCTTGCTGAATTGCTTGTAAAGCTTCCCTCTTTGCGAGATGTCGGGACTTGTCCGTCGCTCATTTTTAATCTAATCAACTTTCTGTTTTACAGGTCATTCAGAACCTGTACGAGGTTACAACTAGGCTGAACCTTTGCGGACGCATATGTCGTAAGGACGCCTCAAGACGTAGGCAATTCTAGCTAAGTTCGAGAAGTTTGCGCAATGGTGCGTCGTGACTTAGGCAATTCAAGCTAAATTCGTATTTTAGCTACAAGGGTGCCTCATGACTTAGGCAATTCCAGCTAAGTCCGTGACAGAGCGGCCCTTTAGTCGCTCGATAATTACGTCGACATTGACGCAATTGTCGAGCGACGAAATAGTCACTTGACATTTGTGTCGACGCTAACGCAAATGCAGAGCAACGCCGCTCAACAATTATGTCAATACCGACATAGATGCAGAGCGGCATCGTCGTCCAACACCGTCATCCGCCACCACCAATATCGTCCGTCACCACCAATTAAAATATTAAAAAAAAAAATTTCTCATTATTTTAGTGTTTCTATTGTTAAAACTGACGACGTTACGATAAATGGACCTAGATATTTTATTTATAATAATAAAACTTTTAATATCTAATTACACTTAACTCTTAAACTTAGAAAGATACAAAATACTCATAAAATATATAATAATATATAAACTTAAACAATTTGATATATTATTAAAGCCAATGTTTATTGTTTGACGGTCACTATAGTGACACAAGCTATAATTAATTAATTTTTTTCAAAATCAATGTAGAGACATCCACCAAGGCGGTATTTAGATCGATCAGATCAAACTGGAAAATCTAATGCACAGAATGCTCTTTAAACTTGTTAGAACAAAACATACACCGTTTGAGGTGATGGCATCATGCCATCATCCCATAAACCTTTTCTGGTGGTAGACGATTGCGATAGACGATTGCAGAGGAACTGCTATGCTCATGTGTAGCTCAAATGTATAGCTTACGTGAAAGTAAAAATAAATAAATAAGAAGACAAAAAAATAAGATGACTTTTGGTTAATATTCACAAACCTTAACCCATGATGTATATGACACAGAAAGCAACAACCAATATCGCAACGCACATCTTTAAAAATATCCCATACGAAAATTTAGTTCATAAGCTTTTTGTCTGCTTTTTGCATCCAATGTCTGAAGGAAATTACAAGGACCGAAATTTAAGTAGCACAAAACTTTTTGATCTCATTGACAGCATTCTTTTGAGTTACAGAAGATAAACTTGTTTCCTTTGCAACATGGGAAATTGAAGGAAAACTAGATCGCAGAATAATCAATATAATGAAGACATGAATCGTAAAATTGTGTATAAAGTTTTATAAACCCTTGATAATTTGATGTGAAACTGATCTAATCATATTGACGGTATTATCTGATTGGCCTGGTATGCTGCAATATAGAGGCAATATAATAAAATGTGGAGGTAAGACACTCGTAGTCAACCTTCACAGCCAGTATAAAGATCAAGAATGAGTGCCGCAGGCAGAGCTACCATTGATCCTCTACCTTTTCTTGGTAAGCTTTGGATTCTTGCACATCCGAATGCTTAGAGGTGTAACTTCTACCAATTCATCTTCTTGAATGTATTCTATACAGTCGTCCAAACTATAACTTAATGGTGAATCCAGAACCACTGCATAGAGAAGGAAAAGACTAGTTAGACAACTAGATCTAAGAGGATAAGATGTAGAGAATGTTTGATCTAACAAGCTGTTTCAACACCATAGTTGAGGCTTTGACCAGCAGATATGATATTTAATCAGAAACAGCACATGATCTAAACCTAAACTGACTAGTTTCACAGCACAATGAAGCATGATCATATTTCAACAAGTTTCTCATGTCTTTGTTGCATGCCATAAGCTCTTCACCTAAAGCCTTTAACCTCAAGTATCCTAGCAATATATTGGATCACAATTTAAATCGTTGGTTGTTTGATACAATATTTAATATCACAATATGAAAATAATAACAAACATCGTTCAGAACTTAAAACTGTACTCTATTTGTTCTAAAGAAAAATGTGCACAAAGATTATCATAACTGTCCCCAACCACCAGCAAATCTTCTTAAGCATTTGCAACGAGCCCACAATACTAGCAATCAAATAAATCTGAACATTGTCATACTATATCTCACTAATTTTGAACATAAATTAGTGATTATACTCTTTCAAGCTGTTAACTGATTCTTTCCACCATACAGGAACACAGTGATATATCTTCTAAGGACATTGTACAATGAGCTTGTCTACTACAGACCATGCTTTTGACCCACTTTGGAAGAAAGGATTAGGAATCAAGTTCTGTACAAAACCTTCAAGTCAGAGGTTTCACCATGCCACGGACATCAAAGGTTGTTACTAGCAGCTTTATTTTGTTAGTTAAAATACATAGCAACCAAGATATTGATTATAGAATATCATAATTTTAGATGTTCCTATATTTTCAGGGATCAAGATGCTTTTTTCTATAGGATCCTCTTACCTCAATCTCCTCCTCATCCTTCTCCAAATCTAAGAATGTTTGCTGATATGTGAGACTTAAGCCACAATAATACATAATCTCATGTTCTACTTATGTAGACTGTAAACCAAATTCATAGGCTCAATTTGCACAAACAAATTCTAGTTTGAAAAAGGCTAGACTTCTCCATCTGTCACTATTAGGTCTTTTAGTACAAGTATAGAGTGAAATTCTCTTTGTCTGGATCCAAAATCACAGTAGCTTAAATTCATCCCTTAAGGAAAATTGGAAAAATGACAAAGGAACACCAATACTTGCTTCACATTGTTAAACAATCAATCAACACATTTTTGAGCCAAAAAATACCATTAGAAAGGGACTTGTCTGATTCCATACTTTTGTACATCATGGAATCAAATACAATGGTACACCAACTATGCTGATTTGTATACATTAGTTCCACAACACACTAGTATGCCAATACAGTGACTGTACTAAAATACTGAAATTTTAAACCAATTTATTTTTTTCATTTTTAATGGTGTATTGAGTTATTATATTATCATAATAGTTGGTGATGCTAAAAAAAATTCTGATACAGGTAGCACCATGCTGCACATGAATATACTGCATTTTTTTTAAAAAAAGTCATCAACACGGTTAAATCTACTTGTCTAAAACAATTGACATTAATCTGGTCTTAAATAAACCACAGATCCAAAATCACAATAACTAAATCTGATAAATTATATTTATTTGTTTCAAACATTAGAACTCTAATCTACCCTAAGATACTTTCATTCATGTTGAAGATATTATCTTTATCCTCCTTGTTCATCTAGTATTGGTTTTTAAAACAATCGTTTTGAATCCTTTTCTTGTTTCCAACCGTCAGATAGATGCTTACACTAAGGCCTCTAGGTTTCACAGTTTGTGCTGTAAAATGATTAAAAAAATGTCAAATTTGTAAATAATTAAAAAATACGGTTAGAAAGACAACATGTCTATTGTTTATCTGCAAAAAAAAAAAATCTCAAACCTAATGATATGAATATATGCATGTGCATATAAATAACCTAAAACAACTCAAATAAAGTACAGTTTTGTAAACATCTCTGGTTCCCTATATAATAACATGAGAAAGAATCCCAGTCAATTCTAGAAAGCATGCATCTTTATCCTTAGGTAGATAATTGGGTAGTAAGGGATCACTACATCTATAACAAGATAGTTCATAAGGTGAAAAAGAAAGGGCATACAATCTTATTATGCAAATTAAAAAGAGTTTAGTGGTTGAATGTTATTGTTTAGTTTGCATAAAGAACACAACTGCACATATATGTACATCTGTAGGCAATGAATTGCATGTTTGACACTTCAAGGTGCACTTGTATATTTTAAAAGCTTCTAATTCATGATCACCATATGACTCACCTGTCTGTTCCTTGTTAGATCGTATATTAGTTGCAGCCTTCTTCTTACAAACGTTTAGAGATAAGTCACCAGGACGCTGATGGCTACCTACAATTTGACCTTTATATACTTCCATACCAGGGCTAATAAACAGCTGACCTCTTTCTTGTGCACTGAAAAGAGCGTAAGAGGTAGTGCTTCCATCTTCAAAAGCAACCTGTTTCACAATTTCCATACTTGATTTTAATATAATCACCGTAAGGTTGGTGAAAGAAATAATATTAGAATTAGAATATAGGTTATACCAAAGATCCCTGGTCTCGGGTGCTAATATCTCCTGCCCATGGTCGATAGCCATCAAATACTGTGTTCAAAACTGCTGTGCCTCGAGAAACTGTTAGAATCGCATTCCGCAATCCAAGAAGGCCACGAGTGGGGATTTTGTATTTAATCAATGATGTCCCCTCAGATCTATAATAACAGAACCCATTCATGAGGATATATCCTAGTGGAAGAGAATATCGAAGGAAAAGGATTCTGCTGAATAAATCATATATTTCACAAACAACAAGAGGATCAGGCATATATAGCTAACTCATAGTATGCATTGCAGAGAATTCAAGTTAAATTACTATAGTTACCAATTTCTACTAACAATCAGATGATCCAACCAAACTCTTAAGGGTCGACCTAGTCCAGGATAAGTTTTGCAGTGTCATAGCACTATTAAGAACTAACACAGGTTTGAACCACCATTGGCACCCCTTGTTTCAGCCAGGGGCTGGTGTGATACTATGCTTAATTCACATTTCTGAACTTGGCAGAGCTGCTCAGCTAAGTTATTGTAACTCAACATCTAAACTATCAATTGTGAAATTAAGAACAGAAAACACATCAATCATCCTTTCTACAAGCTCTTGGAAGCAGGCATATGCAGGAAAGAATGATATGAACAGAGGAAGATATAGCAGACAGACCCAACCCCCTGCATATCAAACATCTGACCACGCCTTTTTCCTAGTAGTTCAACTACAGGCCCCATATATTCTTCTGGCAGCTCCACAGTAGCAATCTGCACAAAATAATAAAGAATATTAGCATTTTCATCTGCAAAGTGCAAACTTCATAAGAAACTTAAAAGGAATGTATCTCATAATTCTTCTAGTCTTATAGAAAATGTTAAGGATAACTTTTACCTCAAAGGGCTCCAGCAATTTATCATCTATATATTTGTTAATAACCTTAGGTGGCCCCACCATAAACTCATATCCTTCTCTTCGCCTGCACAAATCTAGGTCCAGTGGGTTATAAGGTTCTTAGGATTAAAATCAGAAATTTGAGAAGTCTTACATATTTTCAATCAAGATGGTAAGATGCAGTGTACCCCTTCCACTAACAATAAATGTATCAGAGGTTTCACCATCTTCTACTTTCATAGCCAAGTTTCTCTCAAGCTCACGATAGAGCCGATCCCGAAGATTCCGACTTGTTACATATTTCCCCTGAAAATTAATTAATAGAAGTTTTTTATGCAATCTAAGCCATGTGAACAATTCATGCTTGACAACGGACTTTTCAGTAACTATTATGAGTGTCACTTTTTCTTCTCATGGAGAGATCTTTCTCCTTAGTGGCATAATTGCAAAATGCATAAAATATGATAATCATCCTTACAGGTGAACACATGCACCAGCACAGATCAGTCACACTACCAGCATCAGTTGACAATGAGTTGCTTGTGATACCATTTAAGTATAATATAATGCCATCAAATTGGAAGACAGCATCATCCCATCTAGCATTAAAATTATTTGATCAAACCAGATGGCTGGGAGAAAACAGAACCATGATAGCATGTCCCAATGTAGTGGCTATCAATAACAGTCATATTTAATGGAAGTGATAGCAAAATACAATATAGATGCTTCAATCTCTTGTAATAGTTCAAAAAATGTTATCGATCACTAAAAGTGTAGTGCATTTGAAAGCAAAATGACAAAAAAATGAAGCAGTTATCAATAATTAGAAGTGAAATTCAGCTGGAGGCAAAATGACAAAAGAATGATGCAACTATAATATTTGTTAGCTATTTGACAATTATCTTGGTTCAACAAATTGACCATTATAACATAAAATATTGCAACAGGAGTTATATGCATAATTTAGTCTGGAGGCATAGTGAGCCCAAACATGACTAAGAAAAAAAAAATCTGCGCTGGGGCAATTGACGTAAGAAAACAAGGTATCCAACTAAAATTATCAAGAGTAATATGCCACATAATATGAAAGATACACAGGTGGTAGACCCAAACTCAAGGACAACATTAAGCAGAGAGCACAATGCAGACAGTAATCAATTTTATGAAAACTGGACTGTTCACTAACCTGCACTAACATCAAAAAAGAGGAATCCACTCATAACCATAATTTAACATAACCAAGAATTAGACAACAACTTAAGCATGTGAACATAAACTTCGTGTGTAACATTCAGAACTTATCTAACACAACAACCATGTTAATCAGACCATTAATTTGGATGTATATTGCAAAAATACTGATGTTCGACATGCTGGAACATTTTATTAATCGTAAAGGAACTCTATCGCATTATCATACCTCTCGACCAACAAAAGGTGAAGTGTTGATAGAGAAGGACATTCTCACTGTTGGCTCTTCCACCCTAATGGTAGGTAATGCTTTCCCAGAGCTTTTGTCAGCTATAGTCTCCCCAATCTGCAGAATGTATCAGAATCATAACTTTATTATGCCACAGTTTGTAGCCATTTGTTCCAATTATAACTCTTTAGTTGATCTCTGAAGGCAGAATGCAGTGAAGCTAACCATTATGTCATTAATACCACAGACAGCACATATGTCACCAGCCTGTACTTGCTCAACTGGAACTCTGCTGAAATTCTCATAAACAAAAAGCTCACTGATTTTAGCAAATCTGCAAGTATCATCTGAAGTGCATACCTACAAGAAAGATAACATTGCAGGAAAATTAAGGACCAACTGAACCAAAATAGTCACCAACAGATGTTTCCTATATGTTCCTTGTTAAACATAGCATGTTTATGTGTAGCATAATAATTGAATTTACTAGCCACTCTCAAATATTGTATTTGCTAATCCGTAACAAAACACTATAATCGAGGAGCAATTCGATGTCATCAGTTCTAGATATTAGTCAAAGTTCTCAAATTCATGTTGTCGATAATGCAAGCACTTGCGAGGCTTAACTTGTATTGTTTATCAAGCAGAAATACAAATAATACTTCATAGCTCAACTTGTAATGTTTATCAGGCATGAATAGATATGAAACTTCACAATTGTGTCTAAGAAGTATATATTCTGTGCAACAGGCAAAGTGAACTCAAGAATATCACTTGGAAATATGAATCTCAAAATTGTTAACTCAAGAAAATGCACAATTGTCATACACGGCAGAGAAGTTCTAAATCAATCTCATTGATAGGATAAATAGTTAGCTATCTAAAGCAACCTAATTTCTTCAAGATTCAAACCAGCTAGGGCAAAGGTCAAGTTATCCACAGAGGCAAAATGTAGAGATATGGAGAAAAGATGGCCAAGAGTGAAACAGCATACAAAAAATGGGAGCCATTAAAAGCAATATATAGTGCAAAATTATTTCTGCAAATAGTAAACAACATATAGAGTATCCACAAAAGGATGATTAGGAGATTTAAAAAAGAAGCAGCTGAAAATATAAGAATTACGGAAATCTAAGAAAGGATTGCCATCTCAGATAAGTACCAGAAATTGCTTGTATGGTCAAATACAATTCATGGTGATTTTAGTCCTTTAAAATTTATGTGACCCCAAAATATGGTTCTTACAGACACACACAGCAATATAAGAAACTGCTTATCCAAAATTTACTTCTATGTAGATTAGAAATACATAATTGAACTGTTCTCACCTTTACTTCTGTGCCTTTTTGCAGTACCCCAGCATGCAGTCTTCCAATTGCTATTTTACCTTTATGTTCATCATACTCAGTGTTTGATACCTGTGGTAGCATTATTAGAAAATCACTACACCAAATACAGGAGAAAGAGAGATATTTTGATATTTATTTCATTTAGCAAGGGAAAATAACCCCATGAACAAGAAGACAAATATTTGCCTCAAAATAAATCTAATATTAGCTTTCCCACTTTATTGAATAAATCACAGAACTAGGAGAAAGAACAAAAAGAAAGTAGGGAAAAGATGTTAACTGGCAATAGGACAAATACTAATATTTCCCTTCTGTTACAGTCATTCACCTTCTATTTTCTACAACTGACAGCCCCTTTATTTGAATACCCCATTAAGACCCAAATCCCAAATTAAGACTAGAAAACAAGCTACACCTATAAGGAAAAAACCACAAAACCTTCAATTTTTAGGAAATTCATAATGCCACAAAATCACACTTAGTGGAACTTTTTTTTTTCCTTTGATACCCATTTACAGAATACAGGAAACATCAAACTCCAGAAGCTCTTCTGGGGCATTGGAGTGACTCCAGCTAACTATTTTGTCCCCTATTTTTCTTCATAGTAATGCAGTGAATAGATTTTTATACATGTTACAGTTACTGCATATCATTTATACCATTTTTTTCTCTCTTCATTTCTTCTTTGTTTCTTTATTATTGTTAACAGAAACTTGAAAAACCCAAATACAAAAAAAGAAAAGGCTAAAAATTATCACTGACAAGCATCTGTGTAGGACCATCTTTGTTAATACTGGGCTCTGGGATGCATCTAAGTATGGCCTCAAATAGTGGCCCAAGATCATCAGCAAGATTGTCGGGAGATAGTCCAGCCTTTCCTTTAATGCCACTTGCATAAATCACTTGGAAATCACACTGCAAATATCAGAAATAAATCAAGGTTTTTTAGTTAACAAAGAAGCTATTTAGAAACTTTGCAAAAGATAAAAACTAGAAAATATGTATTAAAGCATGGTCTACCTGTTCATCAGTCGCATTTAATTCAATAAAAAGTTCGAATGTGGAATTTATGACAAAGTCTGGACGAGCTGAAGGCCTATCAATTTTATTTACAACAACTACAACAGCATGACCAAATTCTAAAGCCTTCTTTAAAACGAATCTTGTTTGTGGCATCGGCCCCTCTACTGAGTCTACCTGCAGAATAAATATTTAGATAGTTATCAGGAAAGCTAAAAGATCAGAAATTAGCACAAAAAAGTGAATTTCTTAAGAACTTAATGAGATAAACATAGATAGCTTTCTATAGGATCATATCATGATGCAACTATTTGAATAAATTGGTGGAAGGGACAGAATTCTATCAACAACTAGCCAACAGTATGGAAGGAAAACTGATGCAAAATAGTAAAAAATGATTTGATCCCTGATGCACCGTCTAAGAGGATTTCCATGATCTTATTTCCATGATAAATCTTTCGAAGTGGAATTGCTTAAGAAATGTATCAATGAATTTCAAGCATCCTTATCGTAAGGATTAATATTGATAGTAAATTTCAAAATATACCACAAGGAGAACCCCTTCAACCATGTTCAGGACACGTTCAACTTCCCCACCAAAGTCAGAATGACCTGGAGTATCAATTATGTTTATCTTAGTTCCCTTGTAGGATATGGATGTGTTTTTGCTAAGTATTGTAATTCCCCTTTCTCGCTCCAAATCATTTGAGTCCATTATTCTCTCTTGCACGGTTTGGTTATCACGGAAGACCTGAAAAACGGAAATCAACAATATAAGGTTGGTCAAGAATGATGGCATATCATATAACTAAACAGTCCAAACAGGTTATTATGCATAATACAGAGATGAAACTTTTAGAGTAGATACCATTCTAGTTATTAACAAATTTTCCCATAGCAGTTCTTAATATTTATGAAATGTTCTCTGGATGTTAGAGAAACACGTGTAAAACCATCTTGAATATTGTTTGTGAATGCCATCATTTATAAAGCAATAGTACAGATATCGGACACCAAAACAACACAGCATGTATAAATTGATATGTTAAATCTTTAAAATAAGGTACCATCTGGAAATAAAGATATGAGAAATTTTGGCATATAGTATTAGAATATGTAGTTCCATGACATGATAAATCACTATTCTATTTATCACACAAATATTAAATTTTAGTGACATTATACTTCAAAAATATAGAAAGGAAAATAAATCTTGAAAAATAGGATACATTATGTGATAGATATAGCAATAAAGATATGAGAATGCTTGATATTGGTAGAATGCGTAGTTCCACATCATGATAATAATAAAAAGTAGTTAAATATAATCACTAACCTATTAATCATGAAAAAAATCAATTATCAAAACATTGCACTTAAACAATATAAATAATAGTGAAAACTTATGGTAACAGGAAATCAGATTATCATATTAATTTTTAATCATAATCTAATAATTAATAGAAAATAAAAACTATATATCAGTATACGTATAATAAAAAATTCAAGAAAAACAAGTTCTTCGAAAAAGTGCCTGTGAAGTATCCATTAATAACCTAAACAAAACTATTTGACATATATCAATGAAGTATCCCGCAACTCGCAAGTATCATATTTGGCACACAACCCATACATAAGTATCCATGTCTCGTAGTTGATCCAAGAAACTAATTCGTTCCATATACTAATCAAATGCAAAAGCAATATATAGTTATATACTATTCTCATGGAAAGATTATGAGGAGCTCCATATTTTTAACGATGACATTTAAGAAACACCATGATTAAAAAAGGCATGCACAACAATCGATTGTAATAGATATTTTACACAAATCTTTGTAGACTACCATGAGAGGTCATAGGGCATTTACGGTATTGTGCTACTAAGAAACATACTTCATGCAAGATCAACAGTACCTTTGCTTGCTTCAACATCGCATCCACCAATGTCGTCTTACCATGATCTACATGAGCAACGATCGCTATATTTCTTACATCTCTTCTTGTCATTGACGTCTTCTTTGATACTACAACAAATTAGTACATATTATACACTCCAAACCTTTTCAAGTCATCATAAAAATGCATAATTGTTGAAAACTCAAAGCATCTGAAACCAACTTATGTTTCACAACTTGAAAAGTCAGAGATGGATACATATAGTTGGAAGGAAAAAACTTGCCAACCATTGCTAAAAGCCTGAAAATCTATATATTGTTAGAAAACGATAATAAACATAATGCGTAATCATTTCAATTATATTAAAGAGGATCCTAAAATGTCCTGTCATATATCATTTGCTGCTTTAGCAGACAGAAGGTTATTGTTGAATTAATAAAACATCCCAAGAAATATTGTAAGAGCCAAGCACATTGCCTTATGATGACCACGAGTTCCTCCTCTTTAGAGGAGAGTATAACCTGTTAATAAGGTAGCATCCATCTGTCATAACATATAATCATTTGGCTAAAATCAGACTAAGAGGACCATATAAGAAATAGTACTTTGTGTTGACAACAACCCATTTTCTAAGTGCCAGCTTCAAGGCATCCTAGTTATGTTATATTACATTATGCACCACATGATAAATGGATGATTGTTGAAAGCATGCCTGAATGGCACTAAGGTCAATTGACCCTATCTTGGGCCTTGCCTCAGTCAAGGCTCAGCAACTTTAACAAGGCATACCAAAGGTGCATGTCTTATGTGCCTTTCAGAAAATCATGCATGGAAGGCACGCCTTATGATACTTATAATTGTATTTCCTTCTTATATATAAGATTATGATATGACACTTTTTATTGTTTATTCTAGGATTTTTCAATTATTCAATAAAAAAAATAAACTAACAAAGGGCATTTCACCTTGCACTTCTCCCTGCTATAATGCAAGAAACTGATCTCGTCATGTCTTTGCTGCTTTACAATCTCTTTTATTGTATTCTTCTTTGTTTTTGTTCCTTGTTCTCTATTGGACTGCTGAAAGGTGCATATCCTATTACTTCATCAGTTGGTGTTAATGCTCTAGTTTTAATTATACTTGTTAATTATGCCTTGTTTTGTTGTTGCATCACTGTTGCCACCTTTTTTTTGTTTTGTTATCGCATTGTGTAGCTTTCTTTCTTCTTCCTCTAACATGTGAACTTTATGTTCATAGACGTGTACACTCTTCCAATTGAGCATACCAATTGGTATGGTATGCCATATTTAATTAACTATGCTTTCGTGTTTATATTCTATACTTAGTCTCTTCTTTTTTTTTTTATTGAATTTTACATGTTCACCTGTTTTGACCTAGGGAAGCCACCAAACAACTAGAACACTTGTAGACACTGGCTTTGCCACTCATATAGCAACTGAATTCCAGTATCGAGTATTGTTGTCGGTGTTAATGAAATTGTAATCATTAAAACTAACGCTTCATTAATTGGAAAATTGAATCAATTTTGTTTCACAGGAAAACACCGATAATAAATTTAAACTCAATGCTACCATGGGTCCACGCAGTCAAACAGATGGCAAAATCACAAGAATGCCCTGCCATAGGCAGTTCACTGTGCCTTGTAGCAGTTTAATGATAGAATGCACAATATAAAGCATCCCAATCAAACATCATGAAAAATTTCTGTGAATTTTAAGAGAATATGGAGCGGCTCCATATAGAGGAAAAGCAAAGCAAACACCTGAGAACACTAATCAGAACAAGCGTTCTGCCAGCTTTAATCAAAAACCATGTTCCAGTTCCACGTACTTCCCGTAATTAATCAGATATAACCACGATTCTAACACACATATCATCAAGAATCTCCAACACGAACTCCAAACCACCAAGTAATTGACCGAAACTGTGCTGAACAGAAAAATAAATACCAGAGGCAGCTTCCTTGGCGGTGGACGTCGTCGAACATCTGATGGCCGTTCGACGCAGCCGCGCATTCGGATTAGAACATCCCCTGGAGTTTAAAAAAGGGCAAGACAAACGCCGGCCAAGAATCTCCTTGAAGAAGCAGACGGAGGTAGTAGCTTCCCTGGGGTTTCGGTAAGTGTTAGCGCTGGCCGGGAGGCGAGGCGACGGGCCGAGCGAAGTCCGGATGCCGATCGCCATCTCCATTGCTCAATGCCTTCGGATTTGGCAATCGAGGCCCAAAAGGCAACGGAGACGAGGGTAAAAGAGTGGTCGCGCCGTAACCTTTAAAGATATGTCGCTTGTGGTGTTCCGCCGAAACCCATCTGTAGAGCTCTATGCCGGTTAGCGGCCTTCTAAATCGACGGTTCAGATGGGCGGAACTCGTTTATGGAAGGTGAGCCTTATTCGGTACCGGAGGAGCACCGTTTATGAGTAGCGACGTGGCTGAATCGCGTGGGCTCAGGCTTCTCGCCCAGAGCTCATGGTTGGTATTCCTCGGATGGCCGCAGCCACTGCCGATTCCGGATCCGTACCCGATCCGAGTCGAACCTCGTTTTGGATCCGTAAACATCGGATTTGGAGTTCGGAATCCGAGAAGAATCGAACCAAGTGAAGTGAATTATTCTTTTAAATCATATATAATATTAAGCTAATTATAATTAATCGTCATTAATATCTCGATCCTTATTATTTTAAAAATTATATTAAGATTTTTATATCTATAAAAATAAAATATTTAATTTGTTACTTTAATCATATTTATTTTTAAATTTTATTAAATTATTTTTTAAAATATTTTATTTTTATAAGTAAAAAGATTGTAACGTAAAGATCGAGATATTAAAGGTAACTAAGTATATCGATATTTTATAATTAATCTTATAGTATTAAACCAACAAACAATGGCATCCCATCAGAACCGTCCGTTTCCCTCTCCGTTTTGATCTCAATCACTGGACTTTTACTGTCAAAACAACTATGGAATATTTATTATATTTTTACCCAAAACAAACGAACGAACGACTGAGATTATGAGAACTGAGATGGACGACTTTGATGACATCTTTGGTTCCCTAAAGTGTAGAATAGTGTGTTGAATCGTCGAAGCTACAATTAAGAACTACCGTCTATCATCTCAATCCAACGGGTCGATGCAGAGTTATCAGCATCCCATCCCCATCACCTCGTCGGATCAGAGTCGTATTAACCTCTCAACCAAACGAATAACACACTTGTTCTTCTGTCATAGCTTTATGTTCCCACCATGACACCACCACTACTCACTAAACAACAGATAGGGTTCCTCGTTGCACCACCAAAGTGAACAGTGTCGAAGACTAGATTGGCGTACGTACGTTCATGGAGGCTCCACCCCCACACCCTTTCCGTTTACCTCAGGGACAAGTTCAAAGTGGAGGAGCAGGTGACTACGCGGCCATGGCCTTCCCCGTCACTTCCACTTCCGTGTTGCTGCAACCCAGAAGTGTGCGCACCCGCTGACACCTCCCAAGCTAAAAGTCGGAAGGATTCGCACCACAAGGTGAGATCTAATCGGACCATCTGATGACCAGGTTCGTGGAAGCAAGCACGTAAAGAACACTATCAGCCAGAGGTCATATGGGAAGAAAGAGTCATATTATTCTACACAAAGGTGTGTCGCCACCTGCCAACTTTGCTTATATGAGATCTTGCGGTATTGACTTGGTTTGTCAGTACACTCTGCTGAGGTCAAAATAATATCAGATATGATGGAAGCAATAGGGACCCTACTCACAGGCTTAAAGATTAGAGTAATGGTATAGCGGTGGACTGATCTGATAAGAGGTTAAAGAAGCATGCTTTGCCATTAAGAAATGATAGAGAGAGAGAGAGAGAGGGAGAAGAAGAATAATAGTTTTATGTAACTGTTTGTGTCCGGGTAATAAAGAAGGCCATTAATGGGACGACATGTTGTTGGCCACCTATTTTGTATTGAGGAAGCGAATGGCACAATAATTGCACTGAGGTAGGCATCGTTAGGGTGTGGATGAACATTTTAGTTGTTAAATGTGCTCGAATGCATCATTAAGAAATAGTTGGAGGAATATTGTTGCAATCATCTTGCAATATATATATATATATATATATATATATATATATATATATATATATATATATATATATATATGATCTAATTCATCAGTTGATTTTTTTTTATATGATCGATGAAAATTATCACCTACCTACTATATATATTCCCTCAACGTCATCATAAGCTTCTCTCGTAATAACTAACTCATGCAACTTCTTCGATGGTAGAATCATTATCACCAACACAAACAGTGATAGCCACCACATCGCTACAACCAACAGCGAAACCACCACTACAAATAATAATAGTAGACTCAATAGTCTCGTCATCCATGCATGATCGGTAAGAATATCATTACCTCTTGCTTCTTTCTGGGCAATAATTGCTTTCTCGAGCGACAATAAGCTCGTGTTGTCAATAGCAACTCCACAAGAGGGCTACCGTTGTTGTATCCGACAGTAGTCCTACCTCAGGCGATAGTTTGGCCAACAACGATCGAAGTTTAACGTTGTGTTTTTGGAGGATCATAAAAACATTTTCATCATCATCATCATATATATATATAGCAAAAATCATATAAATCTTTTTTATTATAAAATTAAATACAATAATTCTATAATATGTTATATTATATAATTTATTTTTTAATAATTTGATATATTTTATATTTGAAATAAAAAAGCTTACATGTTATATTAAAAATTATTAAACCTACGATCCACGTCTTCTAATGATTAAGATATAATATCCACACTTATGAGATCGGGGATTGGAGGTACGTTTACAGGGATCAAACGTCGATCAATCACATCCTAATCTCTTGTCGCCGTGAAAGGAAATGGAAAACCCCATACAAATACATCAAGGTATCTCACTCATGGCCACATCATTCCCCCTTCCAAGTTGTCTTCAAATATTCAGAATCGATTCTTCGTATCAATGATGGTATGTTTGTGTGTTGCTAACCCAATTTGGCTTAGTCTCCACCATCTGATCAATCAAACTGTGGTACGTAGCTCGGTGGACAGTCCATACAAAGATTGCTATGCGTCATGTTGGGAGTAATATCATCTTGTTTGATGTGCAACAGGTTTGAGTCATTGCAAACAAATCAAATCGAGTTAATGATTCAATAAATTTCAAATGAAATCGAATTCGAAGTCATGTAGTTCGATTTTGATTTTAAAAAATTTAAACTAAAATTAAAATCAATAATTTTGATTCGATTTCGAATCGACTAAGACAAATAAATAACTAGGTTCAATAGTATAATAGTTAGAACTAAATCAAGATTGGTACTTTCAGAATCGAAATAAAAAATACTTGAAATAAATATAATTCTAATTTCGAACTTGACAAACCAAGAACCACCAATTTGGAAATCATGAATCAGACCATTAAAAACAATAACAAAATAAAATATATAAATTAAAAAAAAAGATTTATATGATTATATATTAATTTATATTAATTTTTATTTTTTTAATTATAAATATTAGTAATATAAAAACTCTTATTTGAATCAACACAAAACCTTATATACACACTTCCACATTTATTATGAAAATAATTTTTTTGATATCTTTAAATTTATCACAGAAATTGATATGAAATATATTATCAGTCAATCATTATCGATCATATAAAATACTTATGGGAAGAAAGGATCTAAGTCACATTTCACATATCTATCTACATGAATAAGAGTTTAAAATAAATGGTTTGAAATATCTCCCTCTTATCATTCATGTGATAAGACGTCGAGAAGATATTAGGGTGGTTAGAAATTATCCCATCTCTAAGGCTTATATAAAAATATATTTCTAAATTAATAATTAAGAAATTTTTATTTTTTTAACTATTGGTGTTCATACTCATATATATATAGTTATTAACAAAAGAAAAATCTATTTTGACTTTGATCTTCATCCTTTTAATAAAAATAATTTAAAATATATTTCTTATGTATCACATATTAAAAATTTAAAATGCATAACATATGTATATAAATTATTATTCAAATCTTATTTATATACTATCAATGTGAAATAATATGTTTCTAATTAAAGTATTATAAAATTTTACTTGACGCAGGCATCAACCCATACAAATTGTATGCGTGACAATACTACTCCATACAGCATTGGAGACCTTAGAAACCCTAATATAATAATGTAATCTGGCATCTGATTGCGGAGAAGAGGACATTTATATATCACATTTCACATAAGAAGACAAAAATGCAATCCTCAGTTTCATTGTGTGTGTCTGAATTATTGTATTAGTACGGTTAGTATTATATATATATATATATGTATATATATATACTGCCGATATAATAGAAATAGGAGGAAAAAGATATATAAAGACAAAGACTACGCTTTGCTGCACAAAAATAAAATTCATTATTATTATTATTATTGCACTATTATTATGGGAGGAGGCTGTGCGGTGAGTGGGGCCGGATGACGCTGCCACAAGCCACGTGTTCGACGACAACAATAAAAAAGGGCATGAGTGGGGGAAGAGAGAGAGAGGCCGGAGACGGGTAGCTCCTGGTCTCCGTGGGCCCCATCTCGGGCCCGCTTCGGTTCGTACCCGAAGCGCACCCTTCGCTCGGCAACGAGCCGAAGCACACAACCCGGAGCTGCCAGCTTGGCCCGGCCCGACCTGCCTCCGCACCATCACCCAGATCCAACGGCGGTCGTTCTCTCTTCTCGGGTGATTGTCCGCGTTCCTGCCGTCCGACCCCCTCGCGCTCGCTTTCCACGTGGGCCTCGCGGGCGAGCTTGACGGTGCGGGGACAAGGGTGGTGCTACGAAGCATCGCGGCGGGCAAACTCGCGCGACGGATGTAGCCGGTGAGGATGCTGGAATTCGAGGCGCAATTCACCCTGGAAGCGCACACGTGTCGGTCATTTTTCCAGTGAGAAGGCGACTAGGGCGGCGATTTTTAGAGCACCCGCGACAGCTCGGTCTGGTCCCTGGAGCCCGCAGCGTATCGGACGGTCTAAGTGTCGCCACGATGGCATCACCATGGTTGGACCGTCCGATGTGGAGGACGATCGGACGGACTGCGCACGGAGGCAAGGGTTGAAGGGGCGATCTGGATCGATGGTTTGTTCGGGTGAGCGACAAAACGTAAGGGAAAGCGGGTGGTGCTGCAGAAATAGGCGACGGA